TGAAAGACAGTCCTTATAGCATCTAAACATTTGAATGTTCCAGTCTGTTCATGGAAGATTTGATGACCATAACTATTAAAATCTTAGTTCTGTCAACTTTCTTTTTTGTTATTTTCTCCCTTTTATGGGTGTCAGGGAGAGAATAATGAATAATTAAAGGGATACTCTTGAGGGTATATATACTATCTTCAAAAGCATATATGAAAATAGAATATTTAAAAAGTTCTTTAAAAATTTGAGGCATTATCATCACCTATACTGATGGTAGATGGCTAGGTTGCAGTGTCATGACTGGTTTTAGGTTTTGGAGAATCATTTTCTTTTGTCATCTATCTGCCTGATTAAGCCAGCACCCACATGGGATCCTTTCAGAATGTTCATGATGGTGAGGACCATCACGCAATCCATGGATTTCAAACAGGACATACAAAATTTGTTTTCCAAACTACAGAAGAAAACAGTGACATGCAACACTGTGAATCAGTATTCTATTCTTCTCGAGTCTGGATTCATACTTCCTTGCTTCTGTGAAGTAATGCCCCTATATTCAAAGTATCTCCTTTTCCCCAGCCAAACATTTTAAGCCTTATTGTGCTACTGGCAGTTGTGACACTTAGGAATGTACGTGGATTTTTAAAAAGCAAGGTATCCATGGTACGGGGGAAATGGGAGAGCAACATGCAAAAGAATGAAACTAGACCACTTTCTTACAGCATACACAAAAATAAATTCAAAATGGATTAAAGACTTAAATGTGAGACCTGAAACCATAAAAATCCTAGAAAAGAACACAGGCAATAACTTCTCTGACACTGGCCATAGCAACTTCTTTCTAGATAGGTCTCCTGAGGCAAGGGAAACAAAAGCAAAAATAAACACTGGGACTACATAAAAATAAAAAGTTTCTGCACAGCAAAGGAAACAACAAAACTAAAGGCAACTTACCGAGTGGGATAAGCTACTGGCAAATGACCTGATAGAGTTAGCACTTAATATACACAAGAACTTAAAAAACACAACACCCCAAAAGTTAATAATCCAATTAAAAAATGGGCAGAAGACATGAATAGACATTTTTCCAAAGGCAGCATATAGCATAGAGATGGCTAACAGAAACATGAGAAGATGCTCAATATCACTGATCACCAGGGAAATGCAAACCAAAGCTACACTGAGATACCACTACACACCTGTCAGAATGGCTAAAATCAACAACACAAGCAACAAAACGTGTTGGTGAGGAAGTGGAGAAAAAGGAACCCTTTTGCACTGTTGGTGGGAATGCAAACTGGTGCAACCATTCCGGAAAATAGTATGGTGTTTCCTTACAATGTTAAAAATAGAACTACCCTATACTTCAGCAATCCAACTGCTAGGTATTAACCTAAAGAATACAAAAGAAAAACAAATATAAATATATATGATGGACTATTACTCAGCCATAAAAAGAATGAAATCTTGCCATTAGCAACAACATGGATAGAACCAGAGATTATTATGCTGAGCAGAATCAGTCAGAAAAAGACAAAACACCATATGATTTCAATCCTATTTGGAATTTAAGAAAAACAAGCAAAGGGTGGAAGGGGGGAAGAGAGAAGCAAACCAAGAAAGAGACTCTCAACCTTAGAGAACTGATGGTTACCAGAGGGGTGGTGGGTGGGAGGATGGGTTAAATAGGTGATGGGGATGAAAGAGTGCACTTATGATGAGCAGCAGGTGATGTACTGAAGTGTTGAGTCACTATGTTGTACACCTAAAACTAGTATTACACTGTACATTAACTGGAATTTAAATAAAAACTTTAAAAAAGGGGCACCTGTTGGCTCAGTGGGTTGAGCCTCTGCCTTCGGCTTGGGTCCTGGAATCGAGCCCCGCATCGGGCTCTCTGATCGGCAGGGAGCCTGCTTCCCCCCCTCTCTCTGCCTACTTGTGATTTCTCTGTCAAATAAATAAATAAAATCTTAAAAAAAAAAACCAACTTTAAAAAAGGGAGCCTGGGTGGTTCAGTTGGTTAAGCGACTGCCTTCAGCTCAGGTCAAGATCCTGGAGTCCCAGGATCCAGCCCCACATCCGGCTCCCTGCTCATCAGGGAGTTTGCTTCTCCCTCTGACCCTCCCCACTCTCATAGTCTTTCTCTCAAATAAATAAATCTTTTTTTTTTTTTAAGATTTTATTTATTTATTTGACAGAGATCACAAGTAGGCAGAGAGGCAGGCAGAGAGAGGAGGGGAAGCAGGCTCCCTGCTGAGCAGAGAGCCTGATGACCTGAGCCGAAGGCAGAGGCTTTAACCCACTGAGCGACCCAGGCGCCCCTCAAATAAATAAATCTTAAAAGGGGCGCCTGGGTGGCTCAGTGGGTTAAAGCCTCTGCCTTCAGCTGTCATGATCCCAGGGTCCTGGGATGGAGCTCCACATCAGCCTTTCTGGCTGGCAGGGAGCCTGCTTCCTCCTCTCTCTCTGCCTACTTGTGATCTCTGTCAAATAAATAAATAAAATCTTAAAAAAAAAAAAAAGGCAACATATCCCCATTTGAGATCTATGGATGGAAATTTTAGCAAGGGGTGAGAGGGGACATTGAATTTTCTGACACATGTGAGAATTTTCAGGCATAGGTTGAACTTTCTGGCATGGTACTGTAGGTGGAAAAGTTAAACCTCCTGGTGGAGGGCTGACCTGGGGTCAGATAGCAGGAAGGTTCTAGGTCCCTGAAGGAGAAGGAAGATACTGGGAAACAGATGAATACAGGTACGGAGGTCAGATTTCCTTTCCAATGAAAACTTCGCCTCAGAGCCATCTTTATTCTTCATATATGTGAAAGCAGCAAGATATCTAGAGAACTGCATAAAATCAAGTCACTAGGATAAAACTTACTTCATTCTTTAATCTACTGGATATTATCTTCTTGAAAATGGGTCCTCTCACACTGAAGATTTGAATACTGCTAAAAAAAACCTGTTGTAAGCCCACCGCAAGAAGGGAGACCTTAACATTTCATTCTCTAAGAGGCAGCAAATAATGAGTGTATAGGAATACAATAAACATATCTCAAAAAAGAATGATACAACTTTTATTTTCCATGGATTTTAAAGATACTTTTGCTACATAGTTATGTATTTTTATGAGATTATATTTTTTTCATTTGTATGAAGTTCAGCCTTATACAATTTTAAGGTGATATGTTTGGTAGTGTATCTATAATCTTTAAAAAGTTTAGAGTTTTTGGAATGTACAGTATATGAGGTAAAATCAAGATTACATTAAAAATTGTTTTCTCCTCTGCATTGATTTTGCAGTGAGGCTCAAATGGCAAGTACACTATTAAATGACATTTACTATCAAAAATAGGAGTTCATTTGAGTTACTATGAAAAACATAGGCCACTGTAACTCCCACAGTGGCAATATTTTACCATTTTAGACATTCAACTATATAGAAATCTCTGGGCTATTACACTCAAACTCATTTGTACTGCCAAATGTGGCACTTTTAAGAAGTTTCTAGAAAATAATCGCAATCACTGTTGTTTTGGGGGAAAGTTAGCCTATACATAAGAGATTAAATTTAAATAAAATGTAAACATACAGTATATTATAGTGACAGATCATTCTTACCACTCGGAAAGGCCAAGTTTATCCGTTTCTTTTTTGAACAAGGGTTAATGTTTTTTCTACAGCACAGATCATTTGACATAAAACAATTACAATACATGCCCATTCTAATACAAGAGAAATTCTTCAGAGATCTTCAAAGCACAAAACATATGTCCTTTTTTCAAAGACTGACAGAAGTGCTTAGTAATCACTAAAATGCTAACTTCAGCAACTAAAAATTAGTGATTCACTATCCTAAAATTCAAATAATAAATTAAAAAGGCTAGTTACAAGTGTTTTACAGATAACAGATGTGATAAAACAAGAATTTTAGATAGTTTCATTACAAACTGTATTATTACTGGCAGTCATCGACATCTATGCAAGATGTACAATGTGATACTTGACAAAATTCAATCTGATCATCCAATAACTCACAAATGCAAGCTCACAAAACATTAATGAATTATGCAATTGCAAAGTGCTCTAATGCAACATTAACCACATGCAATCAACAATTTGGAACAGTATCCAGACAGACATTACATTAAACATTAGTTTTCCAAGAAAGAAAGCAGCTTGAAGTTTACTGGTGCAAATTAATTTTGTCTTCAGATTTGGTGTCCCAAACAAAAAGGTTAGGTTTGATTATGAATTCTGATGGTAATGGCAGTAGTTATGGGAGAAGCAGCAAAACTTATGGGAGTTCTTCAAAATCAGTCTATTCCAGATAGATGGAGTGAGTGTGTCTGTGTGTGTATATATATTTCTACACTTGGTAGGTATAGTTTATATATATGCCATATACATATGTGCATGTCCTTATACACATACATATAGTTCAGAGGCTCACAAAAACCAAATTAAATAGGTTAGAAATTCAGAGTTTAATACGACTACTTTTAAAAAGTATAATCCCTCTGTTCTTTTCTCAAGACCTGAAGAAGTGCTTTTTGAGTAAACATTAAAATATTTTTAGGCCAAGTAAACTGTCTGTGCTTTCTTTAAGTGATTTATCTGTGAATTCATGAATATATACTTGTAATGAAGAACTCCACATTTATCAAACAAGTTTTTTTTCATGCATATTCTTTCATCCAGTTTTTATCTGCTAAGCCCCTCCAGTTATTCATCATAATCCCACTTACCAAATAATTAAGACAAATGAGGAGGTAGAAATATAGCACTAGATTGCTTTCACAGCATCAGACTTTAACATTTTTTTAATAGCATGTTAGTGTAAATTTTAATCATTCTGATTTTTTCACTAGGTAATATCTTTAGAACAGATCAGGTTGTCACTGTTACACTCATGCTGACTGGTCAAAATATCAATTACATATCGTTGCCTCTTTGAAAGTTTGTTTTACAAGAAGGCATATTAAAAAAAAAAAAAGGAAAAAAAAAAGAAAAAAAAAAAGGGAAAAAAAGGAAAGAAAAAAGTCCCAACCAAACAAAAAAACAAAAATTTCTATTTCTGTGGCTTGCATTCTAATAAGGTGCCAGCCTCTACCTAATGATATAAGCATTGAAAATGGCAAAAATGATGTATTATAGTCTCAATGCCAGTGCTAAATGCCACTGTTTTTGTAAAAGCAATACAGAAATAATTTTAGTACATGACAAAATAAAATGTAATACAGTATTAAAAATAAAGTTATATTTTCACTTGATTACAAAGTACTGAATGATAAAGGCAATCAAAATGGAAAAGAAAGCAAACAGCACAAGGATGACGGCAGCACACTGCTCGTCACTTAGTGAGCGCCGGGTCCTTGTGCTTTCCACAGTGTCTCTGTTGGTGCTGGCTGGTGGGTCAGTCCTCTGAGAGATGAAGAGCACTGTTGTGCTATAGGGACCTACTAGGTCCTGATGCCCCACAGGGTCTTGGCACTGACGAATGGCACACACACGGAAACGATATTCACAGTTCAGCTGAAGACTTGAATACCGGAATGAAGAGTCAGGACCTTTGTAAATCTATTAATAAGAGAGTGGAAAAAGAATTACGTATGAAGGACAGGCAGAAAATATTTTACAACTGACTAGTTTTAGAATTATTTTTGACATGGAAGCTAGTGAGTGCCACTGCTTTTATTATTATTTTTTAAAAAGATTTTATTTATTTATCTGACAGAGGGCGAGAGATCACAAGTAGGCAGAGGAGCAGGCAGAGATAGAGATGGGGAAGCAGGCTCCCTGCTGAGCAGAGAGCCTGATTCAGGGCTTGATCCCAGGACCCTGAGATTGTGACCCGAGCCAAAGGCAGAGGCTTAACCCAGTGAGCCACCCCGGTGCCCCTGCTTTTATCTTTTAAATGACATTTTAAAAATACCTATCTTTACATTAAAGAGCTTATCTGCTGTATAAGGACAGGAGAAATTGGAAAAGTGAGGATGTGAGATATATGGTCACAGAGCAAGCAAAATCAGCCCACAGGCATTTCCTTGGTTTTCTCAAATGTAAGAAGTCAAACTTCTGTGAAATCATTCCGTGAAAAGAGAAACTACATCTAATTATGTTTCCACATTATATACAAATCTATGTAAAACTGGCTTCTGTACAATTTCAAACATCTGCTGAAACAATGAATGAATTAATAAGGGGAGCTTTCCACAGCTGTCTATGGCAAATTATTTTATAAACTTTAAAGAAATTACCTACAATCACAGAACTGGATTTTAAACCCAAGTCCTCTGCCCATCCCTTAGAAAGGAAATAACAAGAATGGAATTCCTTGAATTTTCAAGAGAGTGCTAGCAATTAAGAGGGTATGTATTGGGACTGGTCACTCCTGGGTCCAAGCACTACTCTGCCAGTTCAAACTTCATTTATCTTAGACCAATTACCTTAGTACAATGAAAATAATAGTTATGTTGTATGGTAATTATGAGACTGAAATAAATAAATACTTGTTGAAGGACTTAACACAGTCCCTAGCACATGGCAACTGTTCAGTATATGGAAGCCATAATTTCTGTTAATGAGCATCCCTCCACCCCAATTCTATAAAAAAGAAAATGAAGGCTCATAGTGACTGCTCAGTTGAGTTCTTCCAGCTAGTTGGTGGGCTATAAGTGAGAAAACTCAAACCTGGGCTAGTCTTCTTTCAAGCAATTTTTACCTGCTTTTACCTGTACAACTGTGTTGTACATCTGAATTTTTATATACTGGTTTGCTCCTGAAGGAGCAAGGTTAAGAGTTTTGTCTCATTTTTTGTCTTCAGAATCCAGCATACAATTGGTACTTAAGCCACTAAATTAGTGAATTATTGACTATGTATATGTCAAAATGTGTGTCAGTGGGTGGTGAGAATATATAAAGAAGCTTTTACTGAAGGAAGTAAAACTTATAGTGAAACAGAAAATGGTAAATATGCATTTGTTCTGAGGATGCAATCCGGGGAGTGGGAATGTAGTAATGTCCACATCTGGAACATGGTAAAAGCAGTGATGTCAGTAAATCAGAAGGCTGTATTGGAAAGCAGTGTGAAAGAGTACACATACAATGAACCCAAAATAGAAAAATTTAAAAAAATGTATTTGTCATACGGATGTAGTAGGTGATATTTGTCTTTAAAGTTTTCTTCACTTTACCTCCAAATGGGCATGGTAACCTCAACAAATGGTAGGAGGATGATAGGTGAAGAGATCTGACAGAGGGGAAGAATATGTTCATAATACTGGTTAGAAATTTAGGTCTTACTTCACAGGGGCCACTTTAGGTGTGTGGTATTTACAACAGTGTCTAAGGAATCCTGATCATAAAGCTGAATGAGCGACTGAGGAAGTTGGGTACAATAGGGGCTCCGGCTGTATGAAAGCACAAGGATATGACGCTTGGTATAGGTTTTATGGATCATTTTTAAAAATGATTTTTATATGAATAAGTAGGCAGGCAAAAAAAAATCTTTCAAGAGTTCAAAGCTTGGGGACCAAACCGATATTAGTATTTATGTCACTGATGAAGTAAAGAGTTTGGAGAGCAGAGATTGGGAGGGAAGATAATGAGGTCAAGTTTTCAGTTTTGTGTTTCAGATGTTGGAAGGCAAACAAGGAGACACCTTAGATAACTGTAGGTACAGGACTGAAGAAAACAGTAAACTTGCTAAAGCTAATTTATAAAAATGATCATACATCTAAGCGAAGCTATTCAAAACAAGCCTCAAGCTTGAGATAAGGTGGATTTGGTCTGAGACTGAGAAATAACACCATTTCCACTCCTCCGTTTCATACTGACAAGATAAAATTGTTGCGATCTTAGTAAACAGAAAAGGGCAAATAATACTCTAATAAATTCATAATTTTTTTTAGCTTGTAGCTATTGCTCACAGATGACTTAGAATTACATATAATTAAAACAAAACAAAAAATAAAACAGCTCTTTATATTTGCTACCAATCAACTATCCATTTATAGGCAGGGTATGGCAAATACCAACTAAGGCAGATTTGCAGATAAGAGATTACAATTTTCACTTTGCATTTTAGTAGAGAAATGCAGACTAAACTTATGTTTGTCAAGTTTGTGCATGTTTAGCTAAGAACTTTGAAATAGTATGCCAACTGTAACAGAATTTTATAGGAAAACTTTTAAAGAAAGTTTAGATTTTTATACACTGGTATTTGTCCTTATTTTAGTTTTTTTTTAAAGACTGTATTTATTTGAGAGAGAGAAAGAGAGAGAAAGAGCACGAGCAGGGGGGAGAGGCAGACGGAGAGGAAGAAGCAGACTCCTCACTGGGCAGAGAGCCCAACATGGGGCTCAATCTCAGGACCTTGGTATCATGACCTGAGCAGAAGGCAGACGCTTAACCGACTGAGCCACCCAAGATCCTCGTCCTTACTTTAACTGTGAATATGTCACAGCATGAAAAAAATAATAAGCGTAGAAGAGGGGCCAATAAAAATGAAACCAGTAACTTACCTATTTCTCTCTCTCCATATCCACACATTCTAGAAACCTATTTGGTTGGCTAGATTAATTACCAAGTACTCATACAAAAAAGCAAAATAGTCCTTTTTTATCCTTTAAGGATAAGTGAACATGTTTACTATCAAGCATAACCACTTTGAAGTTGTCAAAAGGAACAAATTCCGCTGAACTATTTCTACTTTCAGTGTATGTTTCACATCCACATCTAATTTTACAATGAGTAATATGCACCGTATATATTATTATTTTTTTTTTAAAGATTTTATTTATTTATTTGACAGAGAGAGATCACAAAGCAGGCAGAGAGGCAGTCAGAGAGAGAGGAGGAAGCAGGCTCCCTGCTGAGCAGAGAGCCCGATGCGGAGCTCGATCCCAGGACCCTGAGATCATGACCCGAGCCGAAGGCAGCGGCTTAACCCACTGAGCCACCCAGGCGCCCCCCGTATATATTATTTATAGCAGTTAGTATAAGAATGATTTTAACAATATGTTACTTTTAGACTAAGTGCAGACTGGTTTATACCTTAAGGTTTATTTTGCATTGATTACATTTAAAAGTAATGATTCATTATGATATATAATAAGGCATATCTTGTCACATAATATATATATAATATGACACATAAGGTCACACATATGTACATAGCATGGCACATATGGTCATATATCCTTCTTCTGTAATTTATGAATATATTATTGCAAATACTTATTTCATAGTGATCAATACATTAAAAAAACCCTCAAAAAAATGGAATATAGACAAATAGCTGCATGGCTCTTGTCTATACCGTTCTTTTTGATTACTGCTAAGGGAGTTATATATGAACTTGGAATTTTAGAGCAGTTCTTAGGTTTATTGTGCATAAGCAGCACTTAGAACTTGGAAAAAAAGAAACAATCATGGGCCCTCTTCTTAGACATTCAGGTTCATTAGGTCTGCAGGCCACTCAGAGGGGCAATGTTTTTGGAAATCTAAGTTCAGAAGTTTAAGAAAAAAGAAAAAAAAGTTGTAGAGAGTCCAACAAGCCACTGTCCCTGTACCCATTCTCTGACACTGTCAACAGTACTGATTTTTGATGGGGTATCAAACTCTCCCTTACCCAATTCTTATATTTGGAAAAGTTTGCCTTGTTATTATACTGCAGAAGAGGCCTCTGCTCTGGTTGGCTTAAATCCTGAAATAATCATTGGTTCAGGGATGGGTTTGCAATCTAAGTGCTTTCTCTTCTCTGAAAGTGAATGAAGTAGAGTAAGTTCCTCCTGGCTAAGGGGAGTGACTGAAGACTGCTGAGAAAAACCAGGTCCCTGAAGAATTCACGGAGCTTCTGAATCAAGCAATCCTGAAGCATGCTTATCTTCAGGCTTCTCCCTAAGAGGATTTACACTTAATTGTGCTAGTCTGAGTTGGTTTTTTTGGTACTTGCAACATAATGAGCTGTGACACAGAAGTGCCTTAGGCACAGATTCCCAGATGGGGTGATCTGCTTTGATAATGGCTTTATTGTCCACCAGTATTTTTACTTCACCTTTCTGTACTACTTGAAATGCCATTTTGGAAAAAAGGACTTGCTTTTTAAAATGTATACACTTCACGGGGCGCCTGGGTGGCTCAGTGGGTTAAGCCGCTGCCTTCGGCTCAGGTCATGATCTCAGGGTCCTGGGATCGAGCCCCGCATCGGGCTCTCTGCTCGGCAGGGAGTCTGCTTCCCTTCCTCTCTCTCTGCCTGCCTCTCTGCCTGCTTGTGATTTCTGTCTGTCAAATAAATAAATAAAATCTTTAAAAAAAAAAAAAAACAAAAACAAAAAAAATAAAATGTATACACTTCCCCGAGGGGATTATAGAGCCAGTAGATGCTTACCTTTGGTATGAATGTTCCCATGCAAATAGTCTTTCTCTTAATGCCAATAAGGTCAGCTATACTTTGTATACGGGAGCTATGATATGTCAGATAGGGAGGCAAGAGTCAAAGGGAGAGTGTGACTTTAGAGAATGTGGGCAATTTTAGGTGAGGTTCTACAGAACGGTGCATGGGGCAGCAAGAAGGCAGCAAAGAATTTTCTCATAGTGGATCAAAAAGGGACAAAGAAAGGACAAATGTAAAGAAATCAATTTGTTTCTATTTTTTCCTTCTATGTCCCTCCAACTTTGGCCCAGGGTCATGAGTCCTTGCTGCTGCCACGGGAATTTGTTTCCAGATCCCTAATACCAGCAACATTATAGGTTAAACGGTTTTTTATAGGCTAGTTTAGAAACTCTACCACCAACTTATAAGAACTAACCCTGTCTTAAAAACATCAGCCATTCCTACTACTATGGAATACAGACCACAGGACCTGGCTTCCTTAACTACACACTCCATTTGTGAGGCTTACTCAAGTCACACTTCAGAGTTCATGGCTCCTTCTAAGCTCACCAGTGCCACCATGTTCCCCTCTGCCTGCCCTCACTTAAATGGCACTCCTTTTAGAAAACATTCCAAGGTCCAGCTGGAATAAATACTTCCTTTTCGTAAAGTAGGTTTTATCTTTACTATGACCTTTTGTTTGGCAATGTAAAGTGTCACAATTATAAAATTTCTGCTTGCTGGTAAAATTCTAAACAACTTTGAAATCAGAACAGTAACTTATTAATATTGTAGCCCCTATAATTCTTTATATATGGTGTTTAATAGATGTGTGCTGAGTATTAAATAAATTTTAAGTAAAATATTAAATTCCATGAATGAAACTGAATTCTTAAAAAAGCAACCTTCAAACTTTTGGAGTATAACTTGCCAATAAATTGTAAAATCTTACAAACATTTAAGAGATTTAGATGAGCAAATATACTATGAGGGTCTAAGGAAATCAGTATTTCAAGTTTTTTTTTTTTTAAAGATTTTATTTATTTATTTGACAGAGATCACAAGTAGGCAGAGAGGCAGGCAGAGACAGAGTGGGAAGCAGGCTCCCCGCTGAGCAGAGAGCCAGATGTGGGACTCGATCTCAGGACCCTGGGATCACGACCCAAGCTGAAGGCAGAGGCTTTAACCCACTGAGCTACCCAGGTGCCCCAGTATTTCAAGTTTTATGGCATGCTTACAATCTTAAGTGAAAGTGATGACAGGGTTAATTTAGCTTTTAAGTTAAATTAGAATTAGCGTTTGCTGTTTCATGTAGTGATATGTTTATTAAAATTCATATACTACTCAAATGTGGGGTCCCTATTTCCTTTAAACATGTAATGCAATTACACTTTTTTAATAGTAATTTTGCTTCCTCCTTGGAAGGAAACGTGCTTATCTATAAATTATATTCAAATTTGATTATGTCAATTTGCAGATGGCTTAATAAAGAAAAACAACTACATGCCAACTTTAATCTGACTCTTTGGGGCTTTTTGTAATTTCACTTAAGAAATAACACTTCCAGGGACGACTGGGTGGCTCAGTCGGTTAAGCGACTCCCTTTGGCTTGGGTCATGATCCCAGGGTCCTGGGATCCAGTCCCACACTGGCCTCCTTGCTCAGCTGGGAGCCTGCTTCTCCCTCTGCCTGCTGCTCCCCCTGCATGTGCTCTCTCTGACAAATAAATGAAATCTTAAAAAAGAAAAGGAAAGAGAAGAAAAGAAAAAAGACTTTCATACTTAACAAAACAAAAGAAAAAATTATATTGAAAAATATTCTATTCTTAATAGCTATAACAGCATGAGAGTACAATAAAACAGATGAATGACTGATTTCCTAGTGGGAAAAGAAAATACAAGATGCTCAAATGAAAACCACCCAGCTTAAAAGCACTCAAGATCAAGAAGGTTGACAGAAAAAAAAGGGAGAATCAGATGAAATGTTTATAGAAAGTAGGTTTTTGAGTTGGATAAAAATGACTTCTTTACAAAAGATACAGTGAATACTGGCAACTTCCTGCTTCATCTCACTGCTGTTTATCCTCTACCAGAAAGCCTTCTCTGAAACATTTTGGCCAGGTAGGTGAACTTCTGCTAGGCTTCCATAATGACTATTATCATATTTACAACACTACCTTATAATTATGACCATTACTAGTATTGTGAAAGCCTCCTTCATGCTCTCTGCTTCTACCCGTGTCCCATTCTAGCCAAAATGACCTTGTGTCTGATCCTGTGACTACTCTGGTAAAAATCCTCTACTGGTTTCTCATTTTACATAGAGTAAAAAAGTTACAGTGTGGCCTATAATGCTCTACGTGACCTTCATATCATTCATAGATCTTCTTCACAATTAACTACTTGACTTCATCTACTATTTTCTCCATTGCTCACACAATCCCATATTGGCCTCCTTGTTGTTCATTAAATTTAACAAGCATGTTCCTACCTCTGGGCCTTTGCACCCATTACTTCTTAGAACACTATTCTCATATTCATCTCTTTTGGGTCTCTGTCACCTCACTGTCCTATATGAGATAGCACTAGCTTTCTCTACTCCCAAGAGTACTTATTCCTTTTACCCAGTTGTATTTATTCTCCACTGTAGTTATCACTATTGTATGATATATTAATGTATTTATTTGCAGTATATTTTTCTACTGAATATAAAAGCCACAGAGGCAAGAACTTTTCATTCAGTGTTATATATCCTGAGTGCCTGGCACAAACTTTAATAAATTCTTGTCAAATGAATGAATCATCTGTTAAATATATAGCTCATACTTAAAAAGATTTTGAATCCTGAGATACTGTGTAGTTACTAATCTTTGGAACACAGTAAGTACTGAATAAATGTTTTTGAGTTAGGAAGATAAAGACAGTCTAATCTTGCACTGCAAATACATAAAAATGAGAAAGATAAAAATAAGTATCCACAGAATTACATCTTTGCACATACCTGTTTAAATTCTGAATCTTTTCCCAACATAACTTGAAGACTGTAAATAACTGGGTCACCTTTCATTGGCTGTAAACATTCCCATGTAATTTCACAAATGTGGTCATTTATTTTCTCTATTTTGGGGGCTGCAGAGAACAAATACAAATACCTGATTTTTAACTTGGCACATCACACAGACCTTTGTTTCAACAAACCTTTAAAACTCAGTTAAATACCTGGATTTTTGAGATTTGCAGAGACATGATTAATGGTTCACTCTTACTATCTACAGACCATATAATCTATAGGTGCTACAATGGCCAGATTGACTAAAAGATCTGCCAAGGTAAGCACTGTTTTCATTGAGTTAGAAAGCCAAAAGGAGTTATCTCAGTTCTAAAACAACATTAATGGTGCTTCTAAGAGTATACCTAAAATATGAAATTTTGTAACTTAAGAAATCTCCTAAATTGAAAAAGAAGTTGAAAAATACCCCTTGTTGCTTGATATAAAACTACTTCACTCAATAGTGGGGTACAAAGGGTTAAAATCAGCAATAATCATAAGGCTAAGAGACATTAAACTGGACAATAAAACAGAAATAGGACTCAGTAAAACTCCATCAACATTATTAGAAAAGTATTCAAGAACAGTCCTACTAACTGTGGATCTGCTTAACAAATGACACATTTTAAGTACACAATCCAGGACACTGTACTAAATAGAAGTCTCTTTGATTTGTCTTCAGTGTGAGGAATGTCAGTGATTTTGGCTAAATATACAAATTGCAATCCTTGCCAGGGTCATTTTAAAATAAGAACCCCTGGGACACCTGGGTGGCTCAGTTGGTTAAGCGGCTGCCTTCGGCTCAGGTCATGATCCCAGCGTTCTGGGATCGAGTTCCACATCGGGCTCCTTGCTCAGCAGGGAGCCTGCTTCTCCCTCTGCCTCTGCCTGCCATTCTATCTGCCTGTGCTCACTCTTGCTCTCTCTGACAAATAAATAAAATCTTAAAAAAAAAAAATAAAATAAGAACCCCTCTAAAATTAATTTTAAAGATATCTGTATATACAAATGTGTGAATGTATGTGCAAATTTGATTAAAAAATTCAAGTTAACTAAGAAAGTATTTATGTTTTCCTTAACAGGAGACCTGGCTTTCTCCCTGAAATCTGAATGAATGAAATATTAACAACTCAAAACAATTCAAGTTTATGATTTTATTCTTTAAGTAACAATAGCAGAAACTGCAAGTGACCCTATTAGAAAACCAGCATCATCTATTCAATTTAGTGTTTTTATGTTAGATTAAAAAGATTAGTGACAAAATCCAGTACTTGTCTGAGTATCAATGAGCTCGATAAAATAGCTTTTATTATTGAGTGAAACTCTCAGTAGATGGGTTTGTCTATATAATTTCTTTTTTATAATTTAAATGTATACATACTGGATTATAAATTACAATAACAGCACATAAAGCTATTTATGAAGATGCATTTAAAATTAATTTATTATTAAAGAACATAATTTAAGGATGTATAACTTACCTTTCAAGGCAGCTGGGACAGATTTTGGAGTAGTAAAAATATATTCTTGGGACAGAGGACCTTCCCCTGCTTCATTACAAGCTTGAATACAGAATTTGTAGGATGTTGACTCATTAAGTCTTTGTACTTTGTATGTATGACATGGACCTCTGTATAAGGATACAAACCTAAAATGGAAATGACTCTTGTTAAAAAAAAAAACCTTAACTATCTTATGAAAAATATTCAAAACTATTTAAAAAGTACAGTTTGGGGGCGCCTGGGTGGCTCAGTGGGTTAAAGCCTCTGCCTTCGGCTCGGGTCATGATCTCAGTGTCCTGGGATCAAGCCCCGCATTGGGCTCTCTGCTCAGCGGAGAGCCTGCTTCCCTTCCTCTTTCTGCCTGCCTCTCTGCCTACCTGTGATCTCTGTCAAATAAATAAATAAAATCTTTAAAAAAAAAAAGTATAAAAAGTACAGTTTGGACGTTATTTAGCAATATAAGTTATTCATAGAATTCAATGCCAGGAATGCTTTGTCACTCCAAATAAGTCTATTTTTTTATGAGATGATGAAAATCACAGGACTGGTAAATTTCCTAATTTGTCATGGTTTTCTGAAAAATTACTGCTGAATTTTGTGTCTGATCATAGTAACCTTTCATGCTTTTGGTAAAGCTTTGTTTCGGATTGCTATCTTTTAATGTTCATACATTTTTAAAGATACTCAGAATACCACAATTTTCATTAGTCTTAGGCATACAATTTGTTATATTTAAAAAGAGAACCCTCAATTTCTAGGCATAATTGTAGCTGATTTGGTGATGTCTTCTAGAGATTTACACAGCAGTATGAAAGAATGTATAATTTGCCATAAATTATCCACCTGAACTGTTCAATGGAAAGTTTGACTTCATATATGTCACCCGTAAGTTCAATTGTTCCCCAATACTTTTGATTGGCTATTTTAAAGTTTTTGGAAATTGGGGAATGAGTAATGGAATGAATGCTCACATGGTTCTAATAGTCTGAAAACTGTAGTCAGGTTAAAAATGAAAAAAATAGTTAATGACCTGCAGTAACAATATTTCCAAGAAGCAGTAATTAGATAAGCCTTGCCTTTTTAATCTCCCCATTTTTTTTTTTTTTAAAGGATAGGAGGAAAAAACAACCACTACTGAAAAAGCTAAATAATGACAAAACCTGTGGTCAAGAACAGCTGAAATAGTATTAAGATATTGGGGCACCTGGGTGGCTCAGTGGGTTAAAGTCTCTGCCTTTGGCTCAGGTCATGATCCCAGGGTCCTGGGATTGAGTCCTGCATTGGGCTCTCTCCTCAGCAGGGAGCCTGCTTCCCCTCTCTCTCTCTGCCTGCCTCTCAGCCTACCTGTGATCTCTGTCAAATAAATAAATAAAATCTTAAAAAAAAATAGTATTAAGATACTATCCCACAGCAAATGTAAATAGTTGTGAAAAATCAAAGGGAAAGAGTGTAACTACAGGTATTATTACCTTGATTTATTAACTTTTGAGAGCAAACTTATATCATAGGTTTTAATTTATTTTCCACAGCCAGTACCTTACCATTCTCTAGATGATAGCTAAACACTAATTAAGCTTAATATTCTAGCCTATTAGTATAATCTATATTTAATGGAATCTTTATTCTATTACATTTCAATCAAACACGAATTAGACCCATTTCTAGTAAACCTTCTTGCAATACCCCAAATGTAAATGCTACAAAAGGGATGAAAATAATTTACAGAATTCACTCACTCAATGATAATAACATGTATTAATAATAATAATAATTAATAATAATAACATCTGTAGCAAGGCAAAGAATCTCCTTTTAGAAATAAGACTTTACAAAGTGAACATAAAATTCTGCCAATGGCAAAGGCTAATATTCATAGAGGCACAGATTTCAGAAAATGATCAATATTGTTTGCTCTGCATAATGCTCTTACTGGTGATATAGTATGCTTAATTTCGTATGTTATTTTAAATATGTAAGTACCTCTGAGAGTACTTATGTACAAGTACCATGAATATTCCATTACTGAATATTTGGCTAAGATGCAAACACAACACAAAAAACAAATTGGGAAAACTTAGGGAAGAGCTACTAATAGCACTCTGAATCCATAAGATATACAAATTGTTTCTCATAAGCTGAATGAAAAGTAGAAAAGTAAAATTTGAATTCTTAAAATATTAGAAGAATAACACCTGTGGAGGGTATATGGCATTGTTTATATGGGATATAATGTCAGTAAACGGCCTCAGATTTGCATCTGAATAACTTATATTACACATATTTTGATTTATAATTAAAAATGATTTAGTGGGATAATATATGGCATGGATGTAATGAAAATGTAAAAGATGGCAGCAAAGACAAGAACCTGAGCAGCAAGGGGACTGGCTAATAATCAGAGAGTAAACAAGATCTGACAGTGAGGAACTGAACTGTATTTACTGTGTGCAGGTCCTATGACAGGGTGTGGTGGAAAGTGGGACATAATCCCTACCCTCAAGGATCTCAGAGGCCTTAAACCAATCGATCATTTACTAACAAAACTGCCTCTGCTGGAAATAAGGGTTGAAGAACTTTGTTGTAGCAAAGATTATGTTTCTTTTACCTGCATGAAGAGAGTAAATGGGTTAGAGAAGAGAGCCGAAGAATGGCCCACTTAATTTTTCTCTTGGCATCCCACTCACAAGTTATGAACAGGAAATTGTTATGAACAGGAAATTGTCACTATATCTTCTGGTGTTTTGAAAACAGCACATTTAAAATTATTTCTTTTCAGAATTTTAATCTTGTTTTTGAAAACTAATTTTATTTACTTCTACTGTTAAAACTGATATGCGTAAGAAACTATATAAAGAAGCAATTAAGAACACCTACCTTCCATTCTTATCCTCCATCTGAAGGTGGTACTGAATAGAATCTGTTGACAGTGTTTTTGGGGTTCCTTCTCCCCATTTCAGCTTAAGGTTCTGGTGGCTGAAGGCAACACATTCCAGACGAGGTGGATCGGGAGGGAGGGGCTTAGTTTTTAATTTTATCATGTGGCTGAAAGGACCAGCTCCAAGGCTATTCAAGGCTTGAATTCGTATTCTAAGTGCCACATTAAGAAAAAAAAAAATCAATTTATGATTATTCTATTTAAAGTTTCTCTTTGGATTAGGCAAAAATTAACATAGTGTGTAGAGTATACCTGTATGTTGTATCTGGTTGCAAATTGTCTATAATATAGCTTGTAACCTTTCCAACTGCTAAGGGCTGTTTATCTCCCAAGTCTATGCTGTAGGCAAGGATTTCTGAACCATGGTCACAAGGCTTTTCCCAGCTTATTGCAAGGCATGTAGAAGGTGAATAATGGGGATTTTCTATGTCATCATCATTTATTTCCTGAAGACATGTCACAATAGCAGGAACTGATGGTGGAGTCACACAGGCTACTACATCACTGAAAGGCCCTGCACCCACAATACTCAGAGCCTACAAATAAACAGAGCCCGTAAATTAACAAAAACATGACCAACAAAATGCTCACAGAACACAAAACTCCAGCTAGAGTAGAAAGGCCCTGACCACCTTTACCTGGACTCTGCAATAATAGGTAGTTGCTGGTGAAAGTCCTTTTAATTCATAACTGAGACCGGGCCCACAGTAACACATCTGCATACTTCCTTCCACGCCTCCCCACTCCAATCGATATTCAGTGACATCAGTTCCATTACTCAAAGGGACCTTTAAATTAAGAAAGGGAAAAGGTCTTAAGTCTTGACATTGATTAAATGGATTTTGGGTAAAAATGTTCTTTGCCTGAGCATATAAAAAACTGAATTGCTTTTGAATTTCTTTAAAATGTTTAAGTAGAATTAAAACTGTTCAATATTACATTTTTATTCATTAAGGTCACCTGAATGTGAGACTGGCCAAAAAATATATATATTGGCCAAAAAAACAAAACTCTTTTCAATTAGAAGTCAAAATATGGCTGAATCACTTCAGAAAGAGAATTTTAATGTAAAATATTCTTCAAAATAATCCTATCAAGTAATATAAATGTTAAATCATGTAAGGACATTTTCTTTGTTAAATTTCAAAGGTAACTGAAAATGTAATTATCATTACTGATGATTACTATATACAATAAACAAGTGGAGATAATAAATATAAGAGAAATAGTATTATACTGATACCTACAAATGTTTGTTCTTAACATTAAACTCACCAGTGGCTAAATAATGAGACACAACCTTTGAAAAAAATACGAAGCACATCATGAACAAGAAACTATATACCTTACTTAAATGCTTTGAAGAGAAAAAAAAAAATCCACTTTTTACCACATGAATTTTACAGGACTTAACTGTTTGCATAATTTAGGAAATGAAATAAAGAGGATCTCTATTCTTTTATATGAACTATTCTAATCATTTAAAGTAAGTCAATGGGAATTACAATACCTCCCAATTTACTTGGGCACAAGTTGCAGATCTGCATGTAACCTGAGGAGGCTTGCACTGATCTGGTGGTCCAGGGGCTGTAGTAATATCACATTTTTCTGAAAATGGTCCAAACTAGAAAAACAAATATAGCCAGTGTTTTCATTTTTTACACACTGATTGCATAGTTCTCCATAAATATTCATAAAAATAAGTAAGTACATTATCCATCTTTTTTAAGACTAACTGGTCATAACTCTAAAAGCATTCACAGAAAAAAAGATTTAATGATCATGGAAGTCACTGTGGGGTGTTTTAAAGTTTTGATATTTACTGTGTTTTCTTCTGCTCTTTTTCCTTCATGAACTGTTTCTGTAAGAAGGGCAGGGTATCAGGGAATTAGGAATGTGGAATGAGTCAGAAGAAATTATATGAGTAAAGACGAGCATGCCAATTAAAGGTATGGGAGATGGTAGGCATAAATTATATCTTAAAATTTAGAATAGTTTTTTTTTTTTTTTAAGATTTTATTTATTTGAGAGAGAGAGTACACTAGGAGCGCAGCAGGGGGAACGGCAGAGGGGGAGGAGGAGATAGGCCCTCCGCTGAGCAGGGAGCCGGATGTGTGGCTTGGTCCCAGGACCCTGGGATCATGACCTGAGCTGAAGGCAGATGCTTAATTAACTGAGCCACCCAGGTGCCCCAAAATTTAGAACAGGTTTTTTTTTTTTTTTTTTAATTTTATTTTCAGCATAACAGTATTCCTTGTTTTTGCACCACACACCCAGTGCTCCATGCAATCCGTGCCCTCTCTAATACCCACCACCTGGTTCCCCCAACCTCCCACCCCCTGCCCCCCCGCCGCTTCAAAGCCCTCAGATTGTTTTTCAGAGTCCATAGTCTCTCGTGGTTCACCTCCCCTTCCAATTTCCCCCAATTCCCTTCTCCTCTCTAACTCCCCTTGTCCTCCATGCTATTTGTTATGCTCCACAAATAAGTGAAACCATATGATAATTGACTCTCTCTGCTTGACTTATTTCACTCAGCATAATCTCTTCCAGTCCCGTCCATGTTGCTACAAAAGTTGGGTATTCATCCTTTCTGATGGAGGCATAATACTCCATAGTGTATATGGACCACATCTTCCTTATCCATTTGTCCGCTGAAGGGCATCTTGGTTCTTTCCACAGTTTGGAGACCGTGGCCATTGCTGCTATAAACATTGGGGTACAGATGGCCCTTCTTTTCACTACATAGAACAGTTTTAAAAAGAGTCTAAAATATATAGCCTCTGGAAATGCAGAAAGCAAATATTTATTTGATAAATTATCAGAATGCTGAAAATACAGATTAAGTACACTAGTATTAAAGATGCTATCCCAGTGTACTGCAGCCTTGTTGAGGCTGACAAGATGTTGACTTCAGACAGGAAACAATGACTTATGTTAGAACTGCCAGCAAAGTATTGACATAAGAAATTTTAAAATAAGTTTACAGATACAGATACTGAAATCAGTTGGAGAATGGGACTAAAATATAGTTCACTAAAATATGAAATAATGGGAGAGACTTGTCAGTTTAATTTTGTGGAACTGTAATTACAGAATAAGAAAACAGAATGTTACTCAATTGAGACAATAAACTACTGCTTTGTCCTTAGAGAACCTGCTTTAATGCAGAGATGAGATATGTCCTGGTTGAGTGGAAAGGGCTTAGGTTCTGGAGTCTGAGAGCCCTGAGTCTGTGGCTTATTTCTGTCACTTCTTATTTGTGTGACTGTGGGCAAGGTATTTAGCTTTTCTGAGTCCTAACCTCCTTAGCTGTAAAATGTAGATTATCACCTATTTTGTCCATTTTATGGAGTTGTAAAAATACATAGCTAATACTTTTTAAAAAGCTTCACAAAACAAGAAATGCTTAATGTTTGTTTTTTTTTTCCTTAGGTAAAAATCACCTGAAAGTAAATGCTGATATAATCGGTCTCAAAAAACTTAATTATTATTCTAAGTATTTCATCTTATGGTCTTGTTTCTACTCTTAAACACACTAAAAGTAAAACCTACTAGCACCACTGGAAAGGCAAACTTCAGGCCAGCTGAAGTCCAGAGTGTCACAAATTATAAGTGGGGTTTGAAAATATGGAGATTTTAGAACAATTAAGTTACTGTATACACTGACCTCTCTCTTCTTTATCGATATAGGCTTATTAAAAACTGTAAAATTTGGGGGCACCTGGGTGGCTCAGTTGGTAGAGTGGCCAACTCTTGATTTTGGCTCAGGTCATGAACTCAGGGTCCTGAGATCCAGCTCTGTGCTCAGCAGGCTCTGTTTGTCCTTCTCCCTCTGCCTTCCCCTGCTCTGTATCTTCCTCTACCCCCTTTCCCCATGCCCTCTCTTTCTCCTAAAATAGATAAATAAATCTTAAAAAAACTAAAAAAAACCAAAACAAAAAATAACTGTAAACTTTGGAATCACATATTGAAAGCAAAATGGCTAACTAATGGGTGCAATCATATATGTCATATGAAATACCACTGTGATTATAATTCAATCAACAGTCTTCCTACCCCCATTTTGTTAGCTGCGTGCAATCTGAAGCTGTAAGTCTTTCCAGGAAGAAGGTTGCTCACTGTACATTCTACTTCAGAACCTTGGTAAACTTCTCTCGGTTCATCTTTTTCTACAGGAGACATTTCTACACCATAGCAGAAAATGGGTGATCCACCATCGACCAGAGGGGGTCCTAAAGGTGGAAAGATTTATGTAGTTTAACAAAAGGAGTATATTCAGTACTAACTTAATAAAAATTTATTACCAAAATGGAAATTACCCCATCGTAACTGTATTTCTTTTGCTTTGGGTCTACCCTGTAATCTGGGAGGGAGGCATGGGCCAGGAGGCACAGCTGGAGTCTGCACAAGTAAAGATTCAGATACCTGCCAAAACAAAAGCAATACAAAACAAAAATGCCCCAACCAAATAATCAGAGTGCTTTTGTTAAAGGAAAATAACGTGAACACAAAGACTGCACCAATGATTTGAAATTCTACTTGACTTTCAACTGAAAAGAAATAAAGTTCTAAATAAAATAAAAACCCAATTAAATCATTAAAACTCTAACTTTATAGAGATAAAGACACATTCTATGTGACAATTATACACAAAGAAAGTTACCAGAAACCCCCCCCCAAAACTCCTCCTTTTCGTCTTTTCATAATTAAACAACAACAGCAAAACAACCTTCAACAATCCTAATGGACATTATTTTTGACTCTGTCCAAATGGATTCACATATCTCTTCTAAAGAAGGATGTTTTAATATTCTGTAAATACTGTTCGCTATGTTTTCAGGAGGTTTAGACTGTTTTGCTTACTTTACCGTATACTGTATTTTTAACGTACATACTAATTATGTATATATAATCTTTCCTTTCCTCCTAAAAATAATTTAAAAATTAGGTAAGATTTTCCAAGTATTTGGTATCTCCAGGTATTTAGTATTATTTTAGTTTCTATACTATCTAAAAATATATATATTAAGTTTTATTTTAAAAGACTTCTCTTAAAAACACTGACACACAGTGCCATATTCCTTATCTGCACTGTATTAATTTTCTTTCTAAGCATAAAAAATATCTGATCATCACCTTATTCAGAACGGTATCTTATATAGAATGCTATAATGCTGAATCAGAAAATTAGAAGCTCCTTTGGGGTACAGTGGATTTCCTTTTTTTAATCCAAGAAGATTTTATTAGATAAAATGAAGCAATTGGATCCCAGGGCCTGTGGGCAGGACTTGCACTCAGTTTCATAATATTCACATTTTCAACACAATACTTATAAATTTATTTTTTAAAAAGGTACCTTCAAGAAAAGAGGTACCTTTATTGCATCAAATTCCATTTGAAAAATATTAATATGTGTGCTCCATGAACACATTCTTGGTTAAATTCATTAAAAAAAAAAAAATCACTCCTATTAAAAAACATACCTCTCCAGAACATGACAAATGTCTCATATATAATCAATGGCACACTGAGTCCATTTTGGTTAGTGGATCTCTAATAATAACTAAGAACTTTTCTGCAATAAGTAAATATCAGAATCTGTGTTTAAACAGTAAATTCTATTTTATGGTTTGTCCTGATACACATAATTTATGAAGCAATCACTCTACAATTATTTCTCTCCGTTAGGCATGTTATTAAGCATCATCCTAAAATTTATCTTTATAAGTTTTTCTGCAACATTTTTGTGTATTTGTTTTTCCAAAACTAAACACTAACCAGTCAATACATATTCACTGAACATGGATTATCAGCCAAGTACTATTTTTAGAAATCCTGGTCACTATAAAATTAATCACCTGAGTTACAGAAATTACTTTGGATACATTTCAAATTTTGAGGCAGCATCTGGTGATCCCATCTTATGTGACCCAAACTTGAAAAAAAATCTACATGTAAGTATTACCGCACTCTGTCCTCCGTCGCTGATGCAGTAAACTCGTAAACGATAGAAACAACCTGGATTCAGTCGATCACAAAGATGTTCTCTAGTAGCGCCACTGTATATCATATCCCATTTGTTTCCTGTAAGGTGAAGAATTATGTTCAATCAGCCACAAGGTAATGTTTAACGTTCTGGTATCACAGACACAGCAGGTATCCTAGCTTCACTAAGTTAAGTGTTTATGTAATTTGTCAGAAACGATTTAAACTTGTTTCGAATTTCCTGGAGATAATCTAATTTTCTTTATTTTACAGCTTCCTAGACAAATCTGCATGGCTTTGTTGAAATGAAATATCTCTGTAACTCTGTACAAACTTTGGCTTACATTCATAATTTGCTTTTAATTAAGCATTTTAAATGTGTTTACTGCTCCAGTAATGACATTATAACACACAAAGAGTAGAAAAAACAAATAACATAGGAAATTTAGTCTTAATTAAAAGACATTATTTTGCAGGAAACAGTTCATTGCATAGAAATAAAGACTGTTAAATGTGTCATTCAAAAACAAAGTTCACGAGGCACAGAGAATATTACTAAAACTAGTACAACGTAAGTTAAATTTTACAAGATAATTTTTCTCTGATATGTCTGGTTATAAATCTAACTGAATAAACCTTCAGAAGACTTTTTAGTTCAGATATACTGGAACTGAGCAAAGCAAACAAATGAGAAAGGAAATAAGATGTAAATGTAAATTTAATAATATAGGTGTACAGCAGTCTTAGGGATTATAACTTAAAGTGGATCATAACAGGCAAAATACTAACTGCTATAAACAAAGGAAAAATAAAAAGTGAAAGAAAAGAGATCATATAAAACACAAAGTCATGAAGAATAAATAGAATAAATAGAATAATAAATAAATAAATAGAAGAATAAATAAATAAATAGAATAAATCTATTCTTTTTTTTTTAAAAGATTTTATTTATTTGTCAGAGAGAAAGAGAACACGCATGTGCTGAGAGAGCAACAGGCAGAGGGAGAGGGAGAAGCAGGTTCCCTGCTGAGCAAGGAGCTCAATGCAGGACTCGATCCCAGGACCCTGGGATCATGACCTGAGCTGAAGGCAGATGCTTAACTGACTGAGCCACCCAGGTATCCCTAAATCTATTAATTTTTAATAGTTATTCTTACCATTAGAACCTTCTGCCATCTCCACTACATATTTATTGATGGCTGCACCTCCATTGTCTTTTGGTGGGTCTATCCAAAAAAGTAAAAAGTGGTATTAGGCAAAGTACATATAATTAAACAGTGACAGAAACCCTAATAAACAGAATACCAAACCTCAGACTGTTAAAAAAAAAAAAAAGAATCACCTGTAATGTTTTTTTAATTAGTACCAGCATTTTAAGTAGTGTATAAACAGACGTTCAATAAATGTTTTATTTTTTTTTCAAGTTTTATTTATTTAACAATCTCCACACCCAATTGTGGGGCTCATTTGGGGCTTGAATTCAGGATCATGTAAGATCAAGACTTGCATGCTCTTCTGACTGAGCCAGACAGGCACTCCAACAAACGTTTGTTTTAAGTGAATAAATGATTTTCATTTTTCATGAGAGCTAGGATGACCCAAGTAACTTTTAAAGCTATAATTTCAGTAATCATTCATTGCACACAGTGCTACCTCTGCTCATAGTCTTAACTGCAGGTTCCAAGTTCTTCCTATAACAAATATGAACTCTGTATTTGTGTGAGTGCAAAGTTTTCCACAAAAAAAGATACCCAAACAATGAATGATTCTCACATTTCCTATTGAACTTGCTTGAGCTAACAAATGTACCCAACTATCCTAAGAATTATCTTAATATTCAAATCATTTTAATCAAATATAAAAGTAATGATGTACAAATATGCATATCTTACCCCAAGTTATTTTAAAACTGTGTGAATGTATCTTTCCTTTAACTGAAGGCTTCACAGGTACTCCTGGTTTATCAGGGCATGTAGTAAATTCTACTACTTCACTTGGATTACTTTTACCTTCTGAGTTGTAAGCAATAACCTGTGACATAAAAAAAACCAAAGACTTAAAACAATATTTGATACCTAATGATAATGACTTAATGAACAAAGTGTTGAGAGATAAATAAGCTCAATCAAATTATAAAGGTAAGTTTTCAGACTGTGATGGCTTGGTATGTGAGAACTGCTTGTCTTCAACAGGGACTCAGCATATATGAAGAATATTTAGGTATAATCCCCTTTTAGAGTCAGTTCTGGGAATGTAAGTTTAAGTCTAAAATTTTGAAACTAATCAAGAATCATCATAGGAATAAGCTATAATCTGATGATACTTGATAGGCTTTGGGCTTGATTTACTTATTCTTTTACTATTCTTTGAGTTTTAAAAAGATGTCCACGAATTCTTTGAATTTCCTTTATTCATGTAAAGACAAATTCCTCTTACCTTTGAATTGTTCTTAATAACTTGCTTCCAATATAATGTAACAGAAATGAGAGTGTGTAGCTTCCCTACACAAAAATCCATTTGGTGACGAACTGAAGTAAAGTTTCTGACCAAAAGTCAGAGAGGAACTGAGGGCTAACAACCAACTTGAGTGAACTTGGGAACAAATCCTCCAGTCCCAGTCAAGCCTTCAGATGACTGTAGCCCTAGCTGGCATCTTGACTGTAACTTCACATAAAACCTTCATGAGACCCACTCAGCTAAGCTGGTCCTGAATTCCTGATCCGCAGACCCAATACTTGTTTTTTTCAAGCTATTAAGTGGCACAGCAATAAACACAATTCATATCTAAGTCTTTTTATATCTGACTTTAGAAATTCAATATATATTTTTACCTTATCTCGTCTACTGAACTTAAAGCTCCTGAAGTCAAATATCCAACTTGATATGATTTTCTCTTTTTTAAACCTGCTCCATCTTTGCTCTTTCTCATCAGCAAAGTCTACCTAGTTGCTCAAGTTATCTACCTAGTTGCTCAAGTCAAAAATCTAAGAAACATCCTTGATTCTTCCTTCTCTAAACCTACAGCTTAAATCTATTAGCAAATCCTGTCAATTCTACCTCTACTTTTCTGTTTTCTGCTACTACTAACACCTTAGTCAAGGCCTCTTTTATTCTATCTTTTCTGAATGACTACAACATATTACTAACTAGTTTCCTAGCTTCCATTCCTTCTCTGAATTCTATTTTCTACACAACTGCCAAAGGGACTTACTTCCAACAGCTTCTCATTTTACTTAAAATAAAATCTAAATTCCCTATGGTCTACAACACCCTATGTGATTTCACCCCTGCCTACCTCCGCTTTACAGTCTTTTGCATTAGCAGTTATTTGCCCTGCCCAAAATGTTCTTTTTGTTATTGACATGCTAACTCTTCTGGTTATTCAGATTCAAGTGTCATTTCCAAAAGCACTTCCTTGACTACCCAATCATTCTGTTACCTCACCCTAATTTGATTAATCCACGTAGCACTTATCACCATCTGCTATGTGCTTGTTTACTGTCTATTCCCCTAACTAGAGTATTAGTTATTTTGATTACTGTTATATTCTTAGTGTTTAGAATTCTTATATTCTTAGTGTTTAGAATAGTGCTTTATTATAGAATAAATGCTCAATAATCACAGGATGAATGGATGACTCAAGACAAGCTCCATTATGATATGACATGATAATATACACACGGATGTAAATAACTCTACCCCCAAATAAATCATGCAGCTCATGAGAATGCAGTAAAATTCAGTTCAATTGTTCAATTTTGCTCAGCCTTCCTCAGTCCTCCCATGCACGACAATGCATTTTATTTGCTGCTTTACAAACTGGACCACAAAGAGTCAAAACACTTCTCAATATGGTACACAGTGTTTACTCAAACCTAGAACTAGAAGAAACCATTAAAGTAAGAAGAGACTTCCTAAAAACGAGAAAGATCCACTAATTATATTTTTAAGACTATATATTTTGGCACTGCCTCCTTTTACTTCAATTAGCCATGAAGGTATTAAAGGTTATAAAGCCATATACTTATCTCCCACCCCCACAATTTTACAAATAATCAAAAACATTCATTCAGTTCCCCACCATAGAGGGAGCACGGTGCTGGGAACTCTAGGTTTGGTGCACTCTGTATCTTCAACAAGTTTAGAATCTTTATGCAGAAGACAAAAAAAGATGTATATGAAAAGATTCAGGCAATAGGAGAAAGATTACTAAGGCATAAAATGGTCCACAAAGGCTTCTGAAAAGGTAAACAGAAGTGATATGAGGTCTTCATGGGCAAGAGCAGTAAAAGGGCAAACCTGGGTAAGAGAGAATAGAAAGCCCTGGGTATAGAGCAGAAATAATAGTAAATAGTGAGTTCTGATCAAGGAAGAATAAGTAATCCATCTGGTGAGATAGCCAGTTCAAGTAAGGAGTGAAAGTGCGTTTTAAAAACTGAATGTGTCAGAATATAAAAAATCTTATATGAAACTAAGGGAATTTTTTTTTTTTTTTAAGGGAAAGCTGTATTTTGGAAAGATTAATCTAGGTATAAAATGGTAATGAGAAAGTAAGAATAGCTTGATAACAGCACAGAACAGGTTTGGATATTTAGTATTCTTCAGAACAAAAAAAGACAGCTGACAGAAAGTAAAGAGATGATGTATCCAAGGGAGAAAGGGGCATAATAAGTCAGGACTAAATTTGGGCACACTTAGATTAGGGCAAAGGAGAAAGGAAGACCTCATAAAATGACACTGGACAAGATGAGGAGGAGGAAAGCAACATGTTTATGTACTGTCACTGATGCTGACATGTAAGTGTATAAGTGAATTTCAAAGATGGAAGATAGGAGAAGCTGATGGATCCCAGATACTAACTGACTGATTTCTCTCCATCTGAAAAAAAAAACCTCAAAAATAAGTAATAAGCTACAGTGTAGTATTTAAGGGTTCTCAGCTCAAGGTACTCAGAACTTGATCTTTAGAAGGCTTGCTGCTTAAAAAACTGTTTTTCAGTAACTTTAGGAAATAAGAAATCAGCCTCCTACTGGCCCAGAGTCATAGGGAGTGGCCACTAGCTTCTGAAGCTTTAATAATAAGAAATATTATAATTATTAATAATTATTATCAATTTAAATTTGGACAACAGGTCTCAGTCAGCTTCTAATGAACCATTTGATAGAGTCAGCATTGTACACTTGTTAACCACTCTGAATTTTAACTGATTTTAAGAATTTTGGCTGCCTTCTTATGCTTTAAATTTTTATTTTCATTTTTCTTTTGTCCTTTAAATTTTTTCATTGTTCCAATTTTGTTTTAGTATTTTGAGTGTCCTAGGATTGTCTGTAGTGTAGAAATTAGAACTCTTGGCATTTGGTAAACTTGGTCATATTACAATTTTATGTTAATTATGTCATTATTTCTTTACAATCAGTAATATACTATCTAGTCATTGCTTTCTGGATTATAGTATTTTGGACTGGACTATAGGATTATAGATTTATAGTATTTTCTAAGCTTTTGCTTAATATTCTAAGATTTCTTTAGTGTTAACAGTTTATTTTGATATGTTTTGCTTGAAAGAGGAGTCTGCAATGTCAAAATAGAAAAGAAAGTCTGAGAAAGCAATAGGATTTAATGATTCAAGAGCCTGTCAGCTGGCACCCAGCACAAGCAGATTCAAAATGTCCAAGCTTCTAGAAGACCACATGGTCTTCATTTTCTATTTTTTTCCCCCTTTAGATCAGTGGTTCTCAAATTTCAGTAAGCCTCAGAATCACTTGGATAGTGCTGAAACACAGATTGCTAAGTCTTATCCCAGAATTTTTGATTCAACAGAACTGAGGGGGCCAGAAAATTTACATTTCTAACAAGTTCCCAAGTGATGCTGATACAATGGTCTGGTGATCACACTTGGGGAACTACTATTCTTGGTTATCACTATTACAATTGATTATTTAATTAGCTTTTATATAATCCCTTCCTGTAAGTCAGTGATTTGTTAAGAGTTTGTTTAGAGACATTGTTTTCCTATCCCCTCTCTAGTTACTTGGGGGTACTTTTTGTAAAAGACTACTGTCTCCTTGGAGATTCTGACTGTATACCCTGCAATCTGAATGTGACTGCCACAGTCAAACAATTTTAAATAAAAATCTGTAATTATTTAAAATAGTGGATCATAAGAAATGTACTCCCTTATATGTATATATAACATTTTTGTCTCTATGTGGAAATAACACCATGGTGTTACAGGACAGTAGAATTCTAAGAATTTTAATAAACTTACCAAATTATAAAGATCTTAACATTTCCCCTTAGAAAATGTTAATCATTTTCTAATCATTACTGAATAATCATAACAATAATCATTACTGAAGCAAAATATAATCCAACATCATCCTAAGAGGAAAACTGAATGAATGTACTTACTTCTTAAGCATTTCATAAATCTTGTAAAAATATGAAAACTCAATTTGGAAAAAATTAAAATCACTCAGTGTTCTCATAAGTTTTTAAAAATGAAGCTGATATATAAGACAAAGCATAATAAATATAATTATTATGCTCTTCATAATCAAATCTCATGCTTAAATATTTTCTAAGGTTCTCAAGGGATAAAATTTATCTTTGCTTTTTAATAGTGAAAACAATTTACAGTAGCTTCTATCATTTACTTGAAATGATTTTATTAAACAAGTACTGAGAAGAAAATTCCAATGTTGAATGTATCAACTAATAAGCATCTTGTATTTTTAGAAAAACTTGGGCACAAAAATGTAGGCTGGCTTATATTAATTGGTATACTGACTAATTCAAGCACTGTCTCCAAGAAATAGCAATGTATATCCCTGATCAAGTCAGAGTTAAAAATACCCAGAGAATGGATGCTATACTATGAAAGAAAGAATTTCTGGAATCTCCACAGTACATGAATTTTCAAAGCTTGCTAGTGCTTCAAGTGAGCAAGAATGATACATATAGTTTCCATGCCTCAAGCAAGCAATAAATGACATGTAGAGTCTGTCTGCTTTACACCAGAAATAATTCAGTGTAAAGGCCAACAGGTGAGCTAAATAAGGCAAGTATCTCTGCTGGGGGATAGGTGGGTTGGCTGGAGGCAGCAGCATTTGCCTAGTAGGGACTCAAGCACCCCGTATAGAACTTTACGGGAGGGGGAGGAATTTGTTCCACAAACTATAATGGACATAACTGGGGCAAAGTTTCTTTCTGATGATGAAGGGAGCTAGAAATAAGAAAAAGGAGAAAACCAGAATTAACCTGTAGTATTGGATTAAGATTGGAGGTATGTGTGTAAACTCTGGTTTTAAAAAAATAGGTATGTAGAAATACAGATGTAAATGTGTTAGTGCATATAAATTTTGTATGTGCACATACACATATATAGCTCATAGCTCTGTCCATTGAGAGGGTGTCCAGGAGTAGCAAAATTGTTATAGCAATAAGTATACTTACTTCCCAGATTTTGGCTTATAAATACCATTGTCTATTGAAAGGACCCAAGTGCTTGGAGAAACAAAACAATCTCAAGGCTGAAGAAGGGAAAGTACAAGATGAGACTGGAATATCATGTGCCAGAAAGGAAAGGTTTCAAAGAATGATGCGGGGCACACTTCAAAAGGATCTGAAAACCAGCCTGAAGGGGGTCTTAAACCTCAAACAATTTGAGTCTCACAACTGACAATCATAGTAACAAAAATAACCCACTCAGTAAACAGGAATCCATGAGTTCATATTAACATAAATGAGAAAAGAAAGCTTTTCTTTATAGTATAATGCCAAATAATAAATGTAGAAGGCATAATAAAATTGAAAAATTTTATTTTTATTTATTTTCGTTGCCACTTGGCAACTATTGATCAGTAATAATGGACTCAGGCAAGAATTATCAATGGATGTTAAAACTAGTACGTGAAAGTCTGACAAAAACCAAGAAGTTTACATAGTATTTAGAAAATGCTATTATTAGAAAGAGAAACGGAAAACCCTACAGTGAAGAAACATGGTAAAAATAACCTTCATCAAGTGAACACCAGTAATGAGACAAAATGAAATTATGTATCGCTTGATATAATGTACTTAGAAAATAAAAGCATTACTTTTTCAGATATTGCTAACAAAAAAGCACATTCTGAATGTGTTTAGTAACATCCACATTTTAGAAGATGTTTGCTCACGTTATACAAATAAAAGTTCCATAAAACATTAAAATTGATTTGAATTTAAATATATATAGTTTGACAATGTTACATAGTAAGAAAGCAGTAATGCTCATTAGAGAAGTCAAAACTATTTTAACTTTTTATGTTTTTTTGAGTGCAGTGACTGACCATGAGTGGGGAGAGGCAGAGGGAGAATGGGGAGAGGCAGAGGGAGAGTGAGAATCCTAAGCAGGCTCCACAACCAGTGCAAGGAGCCTGATGTGGGGCTTGATCTCACAATCCCGTTATCATGACCTGAGCCAAAATCAAGATTTGGATGCCCAACTGACTGAGCCACCCAGGCTCCCCAAGCCTGAAACTATTTTAGATTTAAAACCAAGGAGTGAGGTGTATACTTAGCTTTAAGCCAACAGGAACAACAAGAACGACAAATTTTATATGGGCTTTCAAAGCTTACCTTAAATTTATACTTTGTACTACGTCTGAGATTCTTTACTGTGTAAGCAAGATCTTCTCCATCATATTTAGGCTTAAAACCATATCCCTAGAAAGTGAAAATAAGCCTTTCTTAGATGTCTAACAGCAGAAATATGGGGAATAACAAACATGTAAAAAGACCCAGGTCTTCTTCATCTTCTACTGTGTAAAAGGTGATTAATGCTCTCTTAAGTGTAATACTCACCTTGATACTTCTATCTTGAATGGACAGATCCAGAAATGCTAATGAATGTTTGTAGGGGGATGGAGAACTCCTCCATAAATATAGTAACCAAGAGAAGATCTTTGTGTTGAAGGTAAAGTCAGTCAATGGTAACATCACCATCAGTAAGCGTATCTCTAAAACTAACAGACTTTCCTACACAGATGTTCTAAGAGCTAAACAGAGTTATAACCATTTGACATACTTAACTTGCCCTGTGTTTAAGTAAATAGATAAATGGTTGGCTGTGCTGGCAGGAAGGCATGTCACTTAGGTATTGGATTGCTATTTATAGCTCCAGGGACAATGCCTCACTACTTTCCCATTGTTATTTTTAAAAGTTGATATATAATTCACATACTATAAAATTCCCACTTCAAGTATGGAATTCAATCATTTATAGTGTATTCACTATACAATTATCATTGAATCCTAATTCTACAATGAAGCCTGTACTTTGCTTTTGGGTTAGCAGTCACTTCCCCTCTTTTCTCATCGACTAATATACTTTCTAATAAACTAATATACTTTCTGTATATTCATGTTCATTCATGTCATGACTAATTCCGTTCCTTTATATGGTTCAATGATACTCCATTGTATGGATATATTACACTTTGTTTATCCATACAACAATTAATGGACATCTGGGTTGTTTCCACTTTTTGGGTATTATGAATAATGCTATGAACACTCACATACAAATTTCTGTATAAACATGTGTTTTCAAGTTCTCTTGGGTATATAGCTGGGAGTGGACCAATGTATTTTTCACTCAAATTGCTTTAAAGTAGCTCTGAAAAGCTATGAAATTATGTAGAACTAATAGAAGACACCTTAACTCATGTTAAGCTACATTTTAGCTCATAGAAGACAAGCCACTGGAAACCTGATTCTGGTGGCACTATATAATGTCATGTGATGCTCTTCATATCTTCTGTGGTGCTTGGGAAAGCAGTGTATGAACACAGCTGGAAAAGGTGGACATATTATTTCCTTATTTTTTAAAGCTGCTTAGGCTGAAAGGCTGTGGTGATCTTCCCCCTCTTTATTTTCCCTAAAACATATATATTTAAAAATGCAGTCTATGCTGTTCCTAGGCACAAATATACACAAACAAACATAAAAAAAACTCCCTCCCACACATCAGGAAAAGACAAGACTGAGTTCTTCCTCATTCCCAATTCCTCCTAAATAATAACCAACACCAAGGACTCAAGGATCTGGGAAAGGATCTAACTACTGTGGCACTATTTACTTATAAGGATTGATGTTACCTGAAATAGGTTTTAAACACTACTTAAAATACATATTTATACTTACTGAAGTTTCTTCCTCCATCTCTAAAATGTAAGAAATTCCTTCATCTGATGGTGTTCCTGAGGGCTTACTCCATTGTAAGGATAACCAAGTAACACCAGCCTTAGTTAATACAGGACTTGCTGGCATGGAAGGGGCACAGCCTGAAGTGTAATATAAGACTTCTTCACTAAAACCACTGTTGAAACAAATCGTTTTTAAGAATGAATGAAAAAGAGCTGTTTTTATAGCTAAAGAATTCAATTTGATAAATGACATTTTCTGAAAGTGACAATTTTTGATAACTAATTATAATCCAAATAATGTGTCTTGGAGTTGATAATATTTTCATGGTTACCAGATCAGAACCTAAAAGTGTATTTACTAATACACTTTTAAAACTGTAGTTTATGTAACTAACATCTTCTCTTATAGCTTTTGCTATGATAGTTAATATCTTTACTATACCAACATAAACTAAAGCAGAATTTTTAGTGGATAATTTGGATTCTGCATAATTTATATTAAGTGAAGTTGACTAAATAATATATTTGCATTAAAATGTATCTTACCTTGTGCCATACTCATTTTTGGCTGACAGTCTAAATTTACAACCCATTGCTGGTGACAGTTTAGTAATTTTAAATTGCTTCTGTAAGCCCATATAACACTGACAAAATTCTCCATTTCCTTTTCCCTAAAAAAAATTGGCTGATTATTATATATCATGTACATTACTATAAAAAGATAAATCCACAAAATTCCTGCTTGATGAATAATGACATATGAGCTGGGATACATTAAAAGTCATTTTGTTACATGAATCATGGATCTCAAGAGAAAGTAGAGATAACCTACATCTTTTAAATGGTACTTACTGTTCATTAAATGCAGAATTTACAAACTAGAAAGTAGGTATCTCTGTATCTACCTTCTTGAACTAAGTACCCTGTTTTAACTGATGCTAAATGTCTGGGTTTAGTAAAAGAAATTCTTTCCATGTGTGGACCCCACAATCTCTATGGGGGGACTGGTAGTAGCAGAAATAGGGTGATCTTTGACATACACAACTTTGACATACACAACATAGCAGTGTTCTCAATCTATGAAAAGTTCTACACAGTTTTAAGGTCCCTAAGTGATTTCCAAACGTCCACCTTAACAGCTGCCTAACATTCTATAAAATAAAGATTCTAGAAACACAACTGCCTAGGTTTAACAGTAACAGAATATAAACAGAGAGAAAAACCCGATTATAGGCAAAGAGAATGGGAGAGAGAAAAGTCTGCAGCTCAGGACAACTAAAGAATGTTAGAAGTTTAGGATGCTACATAAAATAGACACGTTTCTTATTCTCCATCCACTCTTCTCTACTGTGTTGGTAGAGGTAAACGGTGGTTTTAAGGTGACTTCTTCAAAGAAAACCTTCAATCTCTATCTGGCTGCTTTACTACACTTTCCTGTTTTAATGGTGTTTACAGTTGATTCTATTGAGTTGTCTAAACAGAAAGTTGTATCATCTCTAAATAATAATGATTTTGCCCCCCAGCCCAACCATTATTTGGCTGTACCTGTATGTTCCAAAACATACTTCATTAACGTTAAGTAAAGGTGGGAATGACTGACAACTTTGACTGTTTCAGCCTTGACTAGAAATGCTTTTATTGTTTAGTGATGGTACTTCACTTAATACAAAAATAACTATCAGATAAGGAATTATCTTCCTTTCCTAATTTAGTTTTAATTGAGTGCTAAATATTATCAAATATCTTTTCATAATTTATCAACATATTTTTTTTTCTTCTAAATTACTATGATAGATTTCCTAATTCTAAATTCTCTTAAAACTTCTGGCATAAAGCCTACTTGTTTGTGCCTCATTACTCTTTTAATATAGGCATACCTTGTTTTATTGCACTTCATTTTACTGTGCTTTGTTGATAGTGTTTTTTACAAAGTCTGGTTTGTGCAACCCTGCATCAAACAGTTCTACTGGTGCCATTTCTTCAACAGCATTTGCTAACTTTGCGACTCTGTGTCATGTTTTGGTAGTTCTTGTAATATTTCAAATTTTTTTTATGTTATTGTATTTGTTATGGTGATTCATGGAAGAGGCCAACATATTAACATTAACAGGAGTTCGGCAGAAGCGGATTCCAACCCTCATGAATGATTTTGTGGGTTCCAAGACTTCAACAGAGGAAATAACAGCAGATGTGGTGGAAACAGCAAGAGAACTAGAATTAGAAGTGAAGCCTGAAGATGTGACTGAATTGCTGCAATCTCATGAGAAAACTTAAGTGGATGAAGAGTTGCTTCTTAAGGATGAACAAAGAAAGTGGTTTCTTGAGAGGGAATCTACTCCTGGTGAAGATGCTGTGAAGACTGTTGAAATGACAACAGAGGATTTAGAATTTTACATAAACTTAGTTGACAGAGTAGCAGCAGGGTTTTGGGGGACTGACTCTGGTTGTGAAAGAAGTTTTAGTGTTGGTAAAATGTTATCAAACAGCATCGCATGTTACAGAGAAATGGTTCATGAAAGGAAGAGTCAACTGATGGAGCAAACTTCCCCGTTCTTATTTTTTCAAGAAGTTACTGAAGGCACCCCAACTTTCAGCAAGCACTACACCCTCATCAGCCTGCAGCCATCAACATCGAGGTAACACCCTCCACTAGCAAAAAGATTATGACTCATTGGAAGTTCAGATGATGGTTAGCATTTTTAGCAACGAAGTATTTTTTTAAATTTAATTTAATTTTTTCAGTGACAACAAAGTATTTTTAAAATAAGGTATGTACTTTTTTTTAAAAAAGATAATGCCATTGTACCTTTAACAGACTACAAATATTGTGTGGTATATAACTTTTATATGCATTGGGAAACCAAAAAAATTCATGCGGCTTGCTTTGAGATATTTGCTTTATTGTGGTTGGCTGGAACCAAACCTGCAATATCTTCAAGGTATGCCTACATACTGCTGAATTCCCAAATTATCAATGGAATTTCTTCTATACCCTCTGGCCACTCCTCTTAGCTGTGGTATAAGCAGTAGGAAAAGAGAGAACGTAATAAATGATAATAAAACGAAGTACTACATAACAGAACTCAGTGTGCTTGCTGTGGTAGGCTGAATAATGGCCCACAAAGATATCCAAGTCCTAAAGCGTGGAACCTGTGAATGTTACTCTATTCAGGGACTGTACAGATGTTATTAAGTTAAAGCTCTTGAGATGGAGAGATTATCCTGTATTATCCAGGTGGACCTTAAATGGAATTACAAATGTCCTTTTTAGAGCGAAAAAGATGTGAAGACAGAAGAGGAAAAAGGCCATGTGATAATGGCAGGAGGGGCAGAAAAGGCTATCTGATGAGGCCATGGGTTCATGGTAATGACAAAGTAATAAAGAGAGCCTCCAGAAGCTGGAAAAGTTAGGAGAATGGATTCTTCTCTAGAGTCCCTAGAAGAAGCATGGCTATAGCGACATCTTGATTTTGGCCCAGTGAGAGTCATACTGGATTTCTGCCTTCCAGAAATATAGGAGAATGAGTGTGTGTTGTTTTGAACTATCAGGTTTGTAGCAATGTGTTAAAGTAGCCATAGTAAAAAATTATATTTGCTTTTAAGGCTGATGTGAAAAAAAAATTTCCTTCATCAAGGTAATTACCCAAGTGAGAACTTTGAGGGGTTTAAGTCAAAAACAAAAAATAAAACAAAACAAATAGGGAGGTCCAGTCAGTAATGTTTTCTAGAAACATCATTAATTCACTCATGCACCACACCAAAAGCATTCATAATGTTTTTAAAGAGGAAAAAACTATTAAAACAAATTATTTCTGCTTGAGGATATATACACATAAATTCCCCTAATTTAAAAGATCCAATTTACTTACCTCATCCCATTCTAAAATAAAGCTTTGGATTTTAGAACCATTGTCACTAGGAGCCTAAAAGAAATACCAAAAAAAAAAAAAAAAAAAAAAGCACAAATTATTAGAACGTTTGTAAAAGTTACTGTGAGAATCTAATCTGAGGAATCTATTGTGTTGTAGATGTTCTCTGTGGCTTAACTCTGGAAAAATTGCACAAGGAATACAGATATATATGTATTATATAACCCCACAATCCCTTTAACTGCAAGGTAAGAAAACAAAGCAGAGTCTATTCAAGTTTTTCTGAACACTGAACAACTTCCTGTAGCAAGAACCATCTTAACTTTTTAATCCATTTAAAAAAATCACTTTGCCTTTTGTCAGAAGGTTTTATCAGCTTTAAGTTCCTAGGATTGACCCTGTCATTTTCATTAAAACTCACTTTACAATCTATAAGTAATACTGTGTGATACACCAGAGAAGGAAAGAATCAGGGAGCTTAGAAGAACTTCAAGAGGTCACACTGTCTGGATCTTTGCTTCTAGATACCATGTGCCCATTACCTAATATTGCTCATTCAACAATCTATTAATCTCCAGTGGTGAAAATTTGTCTCCCTTAACATTTTATTCTAGTATTTAATCACTCTAGTACGCAAGAATTTCAACCTTATTTCTACTTGAATTTTCTACCATTTCAACTTGCTTCTTTATTCTCACTTTAGATGCAGAACAATGGATCACTACTCTCCTTATAATAGCTTCATCCATTTGAAGACAACTGACTCTAAGACTCCTTTTATCAAAATTAAATAATCTTAACTTTTAAAATTGTTCTCCAGAGAATTCCTATAATTCTCTGGACTCTATTTGGTTTTTATGTAATATTGCCAACCATATATTTTTAAAAAGCTTTTATTTATTTATTTGAGAGAGGGGTGACAGAGAGTGAGTGAGCATGAGTGGGGAAGAAAGGCAGAGAGAGGCGGAAGCAGACTCCCCACTGAGCAGGGATCCTGATGTGGGTCTCAGTCCCTGGACTCCAGGATCATGGCCTGAGATGGCAGGTCTGCCTTAAGTGAAGGCAGATGTTTAACTGACTGAGCCACCCAGGCGCCCCCATTGCGAACCATGTTAAGAGCAATTAAGAGTGGTCAACTTTTTAATAAAGAACTTTTTATAACATGGAGGTCCAAATTATTTGTTGGCCATTAACACAGATCTTGTGTTTAAAAATTTTTTTAAATTATAATTTTTAAGTGGTGAACATGACTGGAATTTGCTATGTTAAGTTACAGGTGTGGCAGTTCAAAGTAACTACAGTATGGATGGGGCAGAAAAAGAAACCTTGGGAAATTCAACTCTTACAGAGCAAAGGAAGAAAATCCCAAGGGAGAGAAGATTGCAAATCTCAGCAAGAAGTGTGTGGTATAAAAATATATTTCCCCATGATTAATGTCTCCAGATTGCTCTAGTCTAGCTGCTAAGGTTGCACATTTATTTTCCTTAATTTTTTCTACTTTATTTTGTGAGGCTTTCCAAGTCAAGGAAATGGATTCTCTTCAACTCCCTGAAGAAGCATGGCTATGGTGACACCTTCAACAACCTGTGACCATTTCTCCAAGTTAGAGGGGAAACTATTAGGTGTAAAGTGTTATTAAAATGTTTTTACCTTATCTCATTTAATCCTCAAACCAACTCTTTGTAGTATTATTATCCAAACTATACAAAAGAGGAAATGGAGGCTTTAAAGAACCCAAATAAGTTGCTCCAGATCACTCAGTCATTAAGAAAACAGAGCTGAATTTACTCAGACACAAAACCAGTGTTCCTACCCAGCAATATTCTAGAAGCTGAGCAACAGGAGGTCTGGTAGGTATTAGTAATTATAAGAGAGTAGAAGACCAAGTTCAGTTAGCTTTTTATCATCACCATGCACTGGCAACTCTAAACAATGTCAGCTGATTCAATACTTCTCTCAAGCTGCTACCTCACGTGCCACCCATGCCATGATTCTGATGCCATGTTAACCCCCAGATAATATTTTCAGATTATATGAGGCAACAGAGTCAAAAGATCTGATACTTAAGTCATAAACTACACTAAGCCAGTTTTCTTCAATTTTAACATTACATAGCAACAATAGGTATTATGTTTATTATGTTCTAGGCACTGTGCTATGGGCTATATAGGTATTATCTGATAATCCTCCCAACAACTCCAGGTATACAATACTATCCCCAGTACCAGTACAAATGATTCTCTCCTTCCCCAATCATGCTATTACTATGCACATACAGGTCTATTTCTTGAAGAGTATAAGCCTGGGTAACCTGAGTAGGCAACTAAGAGACCTAGGGCATAAGGGCACTTTTTATTCTTATGCAGACTTGCTAGGCTACTGTTAAAGACAAATTTCAAAATTCAATGTTATTTTATCTTCAGAATAAATAGCAGTACCCTACTGAAGTCTGAACCTACATGAAAGGCACCAGGCTGCTACCCTAACTGCCCTACCAATAAAATGCTACTCTAAGTGACATGAAATAAAATTAGTCATATTTATCACAAACAAAAATGTATGTATGTACATACTTGTCTGATTTACATGTGCTAACAGTACTTTTTAACTGCATAAAGCATCTAACAGGGGACTAATAAGCCCCAAACAAGTTTTCAGAAAGAAAGCTAGCCCTGAGTTTTGCTCTTGGGGTAAAAGTAGATAATTAAATCAAGACTAGTAGTTATTTTCTTAATATAAATCAACAGTTGCTAGGAGGGGTGGTACTCCCTTCTAGGGCATGTTTAGAAATTTTGTTGGGGGTGTTTCTGACCATCACAATAATGGCACGGGGAGTAAAGGCTGCTTTTTACAAGTGGGGATCAAGGATGCTATCAATTCTGCACAGTGTGGGAAAATCAATACAATGAAGAATTTTTCTCTTTCTCTAGAACTTTTGAATGTCCTCTTGGACATCCATGTAGGTGAAATATATGTTTAAAATTATCAGAGCCTAGAACCTAATTCCATTTTACAAGGTATTTTTTCTATAGTTTTAAGTTACTGGATTTTCCCCAAATGTAACTACTCTGCAATCTGAGAAAGGCTATATTTCATTTGTTCAGAAATTTACCAAGACCATATATCATTTCAGTAATTCATGTCTCCCAATGACAATGCTGTCTGTGCTATGTGAATTATCGATTCTATCTGTGGTGTCTGTCCATTTCATCATATCTTCTTGTGCAGCTGGGCACAAAAAATTTACATATTAGCGAATCTATTATTCTATTCTATTATTCTATTAAAATAGAGAGTATTTAATAGAGTATTATAAAATTATATTATAAAATAGAGTATTTAGTGGAATATTCCTTAAAATATTATATATATATATATATATATATATATATATATATATATAAAAAATTAACATATAATGTATTATTAGCCCTAGGGTACAGGTCTGTAAATCGCCAGGTTTACATACTTCACAACATTCACCATAGCACATACCCTCCCCAATGTCCATAACCCAACCACCCTCTCCCTACCCACCTCCCCCAAGCAACCCTCAGTTTGTTTTGTGAGATTAAGAGTCTCTTATGGTTTGTCCTGATCCCATCCTGTTTCCTTTTTTCCTTACCCTCCAAATCCCCCATGTTGCCTCTCAAATTCTTCATATCAGGGAGATCATATGATAATTGTCTTTCTCTGATTGACTTATTTCACTCAGCATAATACCCTCTAGTTCCATCCATGTCATCGCAAATGGCAAGATTTCATTTCTTTTGATGGCTGCATAGTACTCCATTGTATATATATACCACCTCTTCTTTATCCATTCATCTGTTGATGGACATCTAGGTTCTCTCCATAGTTTGGCTATTGTGGACATATAAATTGCTATAAACATACGGGTGCATGTGCCCCTTTGGATCACTACATTTGTATCTTTAGGGTAAATACCCAGTAGTGCAATTGCTGGGTCATAGGGTAGCTCTATTTTCAACTTTTTGAGGAACCTCCATACTGTTTTCCAGAGTGGTTGCACCAGCTTCCATTCCCACCAATAGTGCAGGAGGGTTCTTCTTTCTCCGCCTCCTTGCCAGCATCTGTCATTCCCTGACTTGTTCATTTTAGCCATTCTGACTTGTGTGAGGTGGTATCTCATTGTGGTTTTGATTTGTATTTCCCTGATGCCAAGTGGTATAGAGCACTTTTTCATGTGTCTGTTGGCCATCTAGATGTCTTTTTTGCAGAAATGTCTGTTTATGCCCTCTGACCATTCCTTGATTGGATTATTTGTTCTTTGGGTGTTGAGTTTGATAAGTTCTTTATAGATTTTGGATACTAGTCCCAATAGTTCATTTTTGCCCTTGCTTCCCTTGCCTTTGGCGATGCTTCTAGGAAGAAGTTGCTGCAGCTGAGGTTGAAGAGGTTGCTGTCTGTGTTCTCCTCAGGATTTTGATGGATTCCTTTCTCACATGGAGAAATGCATGGATGCATTTGGAGTCTATTTTTGTGTGTGATGTAAGGGAATGATCCAGTTTCATTTTTCTGCATGTGGCTGTCCAATTTTCCCAACACCACTTGCTGAAGAGACTGTCTTTTTTCCATGGACATTCTTTCCTGCTTTGTCAAAGATTAGTTGACCGTAGAGTTGAGGGTTTATTTCTGGGCTCTCTATTCTATTCCACTAATCTATGTGTCTGTTTTTGTGCCAGTACCATACTGTCTTGATGATGACAGCTTTGTAACAGAGCCTGAAGTCTGGAATTGTGATGCCACCAACTTTGGCTTTCTTTTTCAATATTCCTCTGGCTATTCGAGGTCTTTTCTGCTTCCATATACATTTTAGGATTATTTGTTCCATTTCTTTGAAAAAAAAAAAAATGGATGGGATTCTGTAGGGATTGCATTAAATGTGTAGATTGCTTTAGGTAGCATAGACATTTTCACAAGATTTGTTCTTCCAATCCATGAGCATGGAACATTTTCCCATTTCTTTGTGTTGTCCTCAATTTCTTTCATGAGTACTTTATAGTTTTCTGAGTACAGATTCTTAGCCTCTTTGGCTGGGTTTATTCCTAGGTATCTTATGGTTTTGGGTACAACTGTAAATGGGACTCTTTAATTCTCTTTCTTCTGTCTTGTTGTTGGTGTACAGAAACGCAATGGATTTCTGTGCATGGATTTTATATCCTGACACTTTACTGAATTCCTGTACAAGTTCTAGCAGATTTGGAGTGGAGTCTTTTGCATTTTCCATGTAAAGTATCATATCATCTGCAGAGTGATAGTTTGGCTTCTTCTTTGCTTATTTGGATGCCTTTAATTTCTTTTTGTTGTCTGATTGCTGAGGCTAGGACTTCTAGTACTATGTTCAATAGCAGTGGTGATAATGGACATCCCTACCGTGTTCCTGACCTTAGCGGAAAAGCTCTCAGTTTTTCTCCACTGAAAATGATATTTGCTGTGGGTTTTTCACAGATGGCTCTGATGATATTGAGGTATGTACCCTCTATCCCTACACTTTGAAGAGTTTTGATCAAGAAAGGATGCTGTACTTTGTCAAATGCTTTTTCAGCATCTATTGAGAGTATCATATGGTTCTTACTCTTTCTTTTATTAATGTATTGTACCACGTTGATTCATTTGCAGATGTTGAACCAACCTTGCAGCCCAGGGATAAATCCCACTTGGTCATGGTAAATAATCCTTTTAATGTACTGTTGGATCCGACTGGCTAGTATTTTGGTGAGAATTTTTGCATCTGTGCTCATCAAGGATACTGGTCTGTAGTTCTCTTTTTTGATGGGGTCTTTGGTTTTGGGATCAAGGTAATGCTGGCCTCATTAAATGAGTTTGGAAGTTTTCCTTCCATTTCTATTTTTGGAAGAGTTTCAGGAGAATAGGAGAACATTCTGGAGAATGTTCCATGTGCACTACAGAAGAATGTGTATTCTGTTGCTTTGGGATAGAATGTTCTGAATATATCTGTGGTGTCCATCTGGTCCAGTGTGTCATTTAAGGCCCTTATTTCCTTGTTGATCTTTTGCTTGGATGATCAGTGACAGGGGTGCTAAAGTCCCCTACTCTTATTGTATTATTGTCAATACGCTTCTTTGATTTTGTTATTAATAGGTTTATATAGTTGGCTCCTCCAATGTTAGGGGCACAGATATTTAAAATTGTTAGATCTTGTTGGACAGACCCTTTAAGTATGATGTAGTATCCTTCCTCATCTCTTATTATAGTCTTTGGCTTAAAATCTAATTTATCTGATATAAGGATTACCACCCCAGCTTTCTTTTGGTGTCCATTAGCATGGTAAATTGTTTTCCACCCCCTCACTTTAAATCTGGAGGTGTCTTTGGGTCTAAAATGAGTTTCTTGTAGACAGCATATTGATTTTTTTTTTTTTTTTTTTATCCATTCTGATACCCTGTGTCTTTTGACTGGGACATTTAGCCCATTTACATTCAGGGTAACTATTGAGAGATATGAATTTAGTGCCATTGTATTGCCTGTAAGGTGACTGTTACTACATATCATCTCTGTTCCTTTCTGGTCTACTACTTTTAGGCTCTCTCTTTGCTTAGAGGACCCGTTTCAATATTTCCTATAGACCTGATTTGGTGTTTACAAATTCTTTTAGTTTTTGTTTGTTCTGGAAGCTTTTTATCTCTCCTTCTATTTTCAATGCTAGCCTCACTGGATATAGTATTCTTGACTGCATGTTTTTCTCATTTAGTGCTCTGAATATATCATGCCAGTTCTTTCTGGCCTGGCAGGTCTCTGTGGATAAGTCTGCTGCCAATCTAGTATTTTTACCATTGTATGTTACAGACTTCTTGTCCCGGGCTGCTTTCAGGATTTTCTCCTTGTCACTAAGACTTGCAAGTTTTACTTTTAGATGACGGGGTGTGGACCTATTCTTACTGATTTTTGAGGGGAGTTCTCTGTGCCTCCTGGATTTTGATGCTTCTTCCCTTTGCCATAATTACGGAAATCCCCTACTATAATTCACTCCAATATACCTTCTGCCTCCCTCTTTCTTCTTCTGGAATCCCAATTATTCTAGTATTGTTTCGTCTTATGGTATCACTTATCTCTCGATTTTTCCCCTCGTGGTCCAGTAGTTGTCTCTCTTCTGCTCAGCTTCTTTATTCTCTGTCATTTGGTCTTCTATATCACTAATTCCCTCTTCTGCCTCATTTATCCTAGCATTAAGAGCCTCCATTTTTGATTGCACCTCATTAATGGCTTTTTTAATTCCAGCTTGGTTAGATTTTAGTTTTTTTATTTCTCCAGAAAGGGTTTTTATTTCTCCAGACAGGGTTTTTCTAATATCTTCCATGACTTTTTTGAGCCCAGCTAGCACCTTGAGAACTGTCATTCTGAACTCTAGATCTGACATATTACCAGTGTCTGTATTGATTAGTTCCCTAGCCTTTGGTACTGTCTCATGTTCTTTTTTTTGTGGTGAGTTTTTCCACCTTGCCATTTTATCCAGATAAGAATGTATGAACGAGAGAATAAAATACTAAAACGGTCACAAAGATCCCAGAAAAATGTGTGTTAACCAAATCAAAAGAGACGCCAAATCATGGGGAGAAGAAAGTGGGTAAAAAGAAGTTAAAAAAATTTAAAAAAAAAAAAATATATATATATATATATTAGACTGGTGAATAGAACAGAGCCACCCACTTGATTTTGGGTGTATTTTGGTCTCTTAGATGAAACTACCTCCCAAAATCTTTATATATATAGACACACACAAAAATGAGGGTAAACACGATGAAGGGATGGAATATGACTGTAAAGATGAAAATTTAATAAAAATTCTACAAAATGAGTTAATAAGGTAAGTTGGTTGGGGAAAGAAAGAAAAAGAAGGTAGAGAGAATCTGCTCAAGCTGGAGACTAGAACAAAGCCCTGTGCTAGATTCAGGGTATATTTTGATTTATTAGAAGTTGTATCGCAAAATTTTTTAGAAGAAAAAACCCTGTATGTATACAAAAAATAAAGTTAGATACAATGAAGGATAAAATATGACTATAATAATAAAGGTTCCAGAAGATTTTCTTTAAAGAAAGGTATTGTTAAGATAAACTGGTTAAAAAATGTTAAAAGAGGAAAGAGTAAAAGTTAAACAAATTAGGATAAGAAAAAAAATAAAATTTAAAAAATTTAATTAACTATGCAAGACTAAAGAATCACAGGGAGAAAGCCATGAATTCCATGCTTTGCTTTCCCCTCCTCTGGAATTCCGCTGTTCTTATCAGTGAGCTTGGTCTGGGAAGGATGTTCAAGCGGATCTTCTGGGGGAGGGGCCTGTTGTAGTGATTCTCAAGTGTCTTCCCGAGGCGGAATTGCACCGCCCCTGCCAGAGGCCGGACTAAGTAATCTGCTCTGGTTTGCTCTCAGGAGCATTTGTTCCCTGAACGGTTTCCAGTTTCCATTGAGCTCTGGAGGATGGGAATGAAAATGGCGACCTCCCAATCTTGAGCATGGAGGAGCTGAGAGCTTGGGGCCCCACTCCTCAGTGAGCTCTTGGAGAAAAGTGCTCAATCACTCCTGTCTCCCTGGTCTCTGGCCGCGCTCCGAGCTCACCTGGCCTGTGATTGAGCGTTTCTGTCTCTGGCTCAAGGCCCTGTTTGGAGTCTCCAAACCCAGCAGATTCCTGCTGCTCTGCTCTTCTGGGGGGTTCTCCCTGGATCTGCCACTTGTGGGGTCTCTACTTAAAGAGCAGTGGCCTGACTGTGCCACAGATCATAGTTTAAGGTAGAGAGCTCACTCCTCGGCTCCATCTCTGTAGCCGGCTTCCCCGCTCTAATACCTGTGAGCTCTGCTACACTCAGACACCCTGATCCTTCTGTGACCCATGGGACCTGAGACCACGCTGTCCCCGTGAGGGCTCCAGACCCATTTAGCCTCTGGAGTGATGTCCCTCAGTGGAGCACTTTTAAAAGCTCTGATTTTGTGCTCCACTGCTGCACTGCTTGCTGGAAGCCAGCCCCTCCCCTCGTGGTCTATCTTCTAGTCGGTTCGGATTCACTTCTCCGCATGTCTTTCCTTTCAGAAAGTGGTTGATTTTCTGTTTCTAGAATTGCTGCTCTTCTCTTCGATCTCCTGTTCGATTTGTAGGTGTTCGGAATGGTTTGATAACTATATAACTGAATTCCTGCAACCTGATGTCATCTCAGCCTGCTATTCTTCTGCCATCTTGACTCCTCTCCCCCTATATTTTTATTTTTTTCTTAATTTTTTAAAGATTTTATTTATTTATTTGGCAGACAAAGATCACAAGTAGACAGAAAGGCAGGCAGAGAGAGAGGGGCTCGATCCCAGGACACTGAGATCATGACCTGAGCCGAAGGCAGAGGCTTAACCCACTGAGCCACCCAGGCGCCCCTCCCCCTATATTTTTAAAACTATGAGTCTAGTTACTATGAACTTCATTTTATGATAAAATTTAGGATATAAAGGCATTGTAATGAACTTCAGAAGCACTGCTGAGACTCTCAATGCCATCCCATGTCCAGTATTGTAAGGACTACTAATTATATAACAGTCTTTTCCGCTGTATTTATACACAGTAAGAAAAAATCATTAAGAGTATTATTTTAAGATTTAGTATATGTAAAGAAGAAGAACAAGTTACCTTAAAGTACTTTTTTGTCTCTAGACAAGAACAACTGAAGTTGGGGAGGAGGGAGGAAGGAGTAAATGTCCAGTTGGAAAGTACTCTAAAGAATATTCTTACCTTCCATTGCAAAGTGAGTGAATTTTTGGTCCGATTGGCTATCCTGGGTGGATTAGGTATGTCAGGTTCACAGCTTAAGGTGGTAAAGCTTTCAGCTTCTGAAGGAGTTCCCTTCATAGAATTGTATTCTGCCTGGACTCTATGGCAATAAAAAGAAATAGTTTTGAACAGTAGAATAATTGTATCCTAGCTTCAATAGGCATCAACTTTAAGTACTTGCAAATCAGTAAGGTGTCTTCCAAATGTTCTATCAAGAAAACAAGGGAGGGCACCTGGCTAGCTCAGCTGGTAAAATATATGACTCTTGATCTCCAGGCTGGGGTTTCAAGCCCCACGTTGGGTGTAGGGATTACTTAAAAATAAAGTCTTTAAAAGAAAAAAAAAAATGCGTGTCAAAGTAAAAGATGGCTCTTTAAAAAAGAAATACAGGGTAGACCAGAGGCTTCATCCTATTTCTTGACTAACACAAAGTAAGAAATACATCTTAAGTTGTGACAACATATCACAACTATATGATATGTACTTGCTCATACACACACACAAGAAAGAAAAGTATCCTGCAACTATCCCTAAGGGATATACAGATACCTTCTATTTTATTTGATTATTTAATTAAAAATGCTGACTATAACCCCCAAATTTCATGATTTAATAATGGTTGCAGCCTACAGTTTGAAAGTGCTAAGTTGGAAATACTTTGGCTTTATCCACAGAAAGTATAATTAAAGACTTAATTTAATAGTTTAATAGGAATAATCCCAACCACAAATGGGGTGACTAACCAAATATAGATTAATGAGTCCTAGCTGGGGAGGCTTTAGTATGTAAAATGTTGGTAAATTGTAACAGAACTATGCAGAATAAAACAGTATTTAAGTTACCTCTCAGTTAAATGTTGTGAATTTTCTAAGAATTTTTTTTTAAGTAATCTCTATACCCAATGTGGGGCTTGAACTCACAACCCCAAGATCAAGAGTTGCATGCTCCACTGACTGAGCCAGCCAGGCACCCCTAAGTACTGTGAAAATTTTAATATCCCAAACTCTTTCTAAAACATGATGTAGTAAAAATACATTAAGTACAAATCAACAATTATTAATGCTTCTGTTCTGCAAAAATTTCAAAAGCGGGGAGTTTTCCATGTGCATATAATATGCAGACATATTATACTTATTATCTGTATATTCATTCCAATCCCAAGGTCCTACAAACAGGATAACTAACTGTTCAACATAACATTTCAGTTAAATGTTTTTGGTTTTTTTTGGGAAATGTGTTAATAACTGTACCAAAAGAAAAAACCAAAGTCTACAAATTCACAATTTTAATCCAAAATTAATAATTATAGTATATACTAGGCTTTTAATGAAATTATTTAAAAAACTACCTATTCTCTATCATATCATACTAAGACAACATGTAGACATTCCTTACTTTGCATGGTAATCTGTAGCTGGTTTGAGATCATTTAAAGTGACATTTGTTTCTTCTCCTCTGGGGGAAAAAAAAGGAACATTTAACAGTTTGATAAAGAAGAATTTCCAGAGGATTTACATTATATACGCTTCAGTTTGTGGCAGTTTATGAAATTACACTGTTTCTTTCTTTACCAGTTGTAACCATATTCAGATTCCATCAATATAGAATTTGTGTAATAAGAATATATACCAAACCTAAGTTATATACCTGCATACCACTTTTAAATAGAAAGGTGTCCAAACAGTGTGTGCACAGAGGAGTTAAGATGGTGGAGGAGTAGGGGCTCCTAAGGTTGCCTATTCCCTCCAATATGGCTAGATAAATATCAAATCATTCTAAACACACAAAAAATCAATCTGAGGACCGAGAGAACAAAATGGCCACTTTGTGGAAGGTAAGAGCTGTGGAGAGTTCATCTGGGGAGAGAACAGCTGTAGGTGCTGTGGAGGGGTGGGAGCCCTGATCATGGCAAGAGGAGAGAGAGAGAGAGAGAGAGAGAAATGAAAAACTGAAGCAGCAGGTAGGAGACTGCACAAGAAAAAAATCTTCCCCCAAACCAGTGACTAAGAAAAGAAGAGGGGCTGACTATAGCAAATTTTTATAAGCAGTGGAGCTCAAAGTCTTTGATAAGTCTGTGCCATTGGTGGGTTGTGCCTGGCAGACTTAGCAGTGCTCTGGTGGGGAAGAAGGGCAGAGACCTGGGAGTGGGCAGTGTGGTCTGAGGATGCCCCGGGTCACACAGGGAAGAACAGTTCCCTTTTTTGGAATGCATTTGGGAATGGTGGATAGCCTCTCTAGGGGCAAAAGAACTGGCAGCACCAATGTGCATCCCTGTTCACTGACATGGGAATACAGACACTGGCTGAGGGCAGCAAACCTTGGTGATGCTTTTTGCTGCACTTTACTGTAAATTCGGAGCCACTGTGCAGTTGTGGGACTGCTTTACTGGGGCAAACTGGCACTGGCCACAGCATGGCAAGACCCTCCCCCAGAGGATCAGCATGAGTCCATAAAATTGGGAGTTTTGAAACTCAGCCCCGTGCCTGAGATAAAACATAGGAGGTACTGTGCCACCTGAGAGAGACAGGGTGAAGGCAGGAATCTGACAGAAGCTGAAACACAAGAGGGGTGACTGCTCTTCTGAGAAGGGTTCCTAAAGAGTGGCAGACACAAACTCCCCAGTATGGGTCGGAAAGCAGGGCAACACCATTTCCCCCATACCCATCAGCACTAACCAACTTCAGTGAGCAACAGAGCACCACCCCATGCCCTCCTAGTGGAGGCTGGAGCTACTTACACCAAGCACCGCCCCCCTCACCCCAGGCCCCGGTACCCTCCAAGTACATCTCCATTAGGGCAAGCCCGCCTGAGAATCAGTGCAGCAGGACCATCTGCCAGAAGACTAGCACAAACCCCTCACATGCACCAAGTCTACTAATCATAGAGTGCTGCAAAGCTTCAGCTCTAGGGGAAATAGGATCTAGGATCTCATTTCTTTCTTTCTTTCTTTCTTTTTTTTTTTTTTTTGGATGGATCTAGCTTCTTTCAACAAGCAGACCAAAACACACCTAGTTAAAACCTGCCATTTGGTAGACAAGGTCTAAATACCACCTACTACAGGCAAAGAGAATTCTATAGAGGACTGACATGTAGGAAGAAGCAGCCAAAACAAAACTGCAGAGTGCAACACTCTGAAACACCTCCTGAATCACCAGGCCCAAGAGAGTAGAAAACCTTATTTTTTTCTTTTTCTTTCTTTAAAAAAAAAATTTATATATATATAGCCAATTAACTCTCAGGAGCAGGAGTACAAGAGGCTTTCCTAAGAATCACCCCCAAAATTGATAAAACAGAGGAATTCACCCCAAAAGAAAGAACAGGAAGAAGTAACAGCCAGGGACTTAATCAATACAGATATAAATAAGATGCCTGAATAAGATTTTTTTTTTTTAAAGATTTTTTTTTTATTTATTTGACAGACAGATCACAAGTAGGCAGAGAGTCAGGCAGAGAGAGAGGAGGAGGAGGCAGGCTCCCTGCTGAGCAGAGAGCCTGATGCGGGACTCGATCCCAGGACCCTGAGACCATGACCTGAGCCGAAGGCAAAGGCTTTAACCACTGTGCCACCCAGGAGCCCCCTGAATAAGAATTTAAAACAACAATTATAAGGATACTAGCTGGGCTTGAGAAAAGCACAGAAGATACTAGAGAATCCTTTACTGCAAAGATAAAAGAACTAAAAACCTGTCAGGCCAAAATAAAAAATGGTATAACCAAAAGGCAAAATCCACTGGATGCAATGATAATGAGGATGGATGAAGCAGAGAATACAGATATAGAAGATAAAATTATGGAAAATAATGAAGCTGAAAAGAAGGAGAAAATAAAGGTATAGGATCATGAATGTCGAGTTAGGGTATTCATTGACTCCTTAAAAACATAGTAATATTTGATCATAGAGGAGTCCCAGAAGAAGAAGAAGAAGAAAAAGGGCATAAGGTTTTATTTGAGCAAATTATAGCTGAAAACTTCCTTAATCTGGAGGAAGGAAACAGACATCGAAACCCAAGAAGCACAGAGAACTCGCATTAAATTCAACAAAAGCCGGCCATGACTAAGACACATCATAGTCAAATTCACACACACACAAAAACACAGACAAGGAAAGAACCCTGAAAGCAGCAAGGGGAAAAAAGAGTCCTTAACCTACAAGGGAATACAGGGTTGCAGCAGACCTGTCCACAGAAACTTAGCAGGCAGAAGAGAATGGCAGCATATATTCAACATGCTGAATGGGAAAAAAATGAAGCCAAGAATACTTTATCCAGCAAGGCTGTCTATCCACGATAGAAGGATTTCCCAGACAAACAAAAACAAAAGGAGTTTGTGACCACTAAACCAGCCCTGCAAGAGGTATTAAAGGAAACTCTTTGAATAGGGAAAAAAAGACCAAAAACAACAAAGTCCAGAAAGCAACAGAGGCCATCATCAGAAACATACCTTTACAAGTAACGCAACAGCACCTAAATTCCTTTCTATCAATAATTACTCTGAATGTTAATGGACTAAATGCTCCAATCAAAAGACACAGTACCAGAATGGATAAAAAAGTAAGACTCATCTATATGCTGCCTACAAGACACTCATTTTAAACCTAAAGACAGCTGCAGATTGAAAGTGAGGGGATGGAGAATCATCTATCATGCTACTGGACACCAAAAGAAAACTGGAGTACCCAAATTTATATCAAACTAGATTTTGAACCAAAGACTGTAATAAGAGATGAAGAAGGGATTATACCATAATTAAGGGGTCTATTCATCAAGAAGATCTAACATTGTAAAGACTTATGCCCCCAACTTGGGAGCACCCAAATATATAAATCATTAACAAACTTAAAGAAACTCATTGATAATATAATAATAGTAGGAGACTTTAACACCCCACTTACAAATGAACAGATCATCTAAGCAGAAGATCAACAAGGAAACAGGGCTTTGAATAACACACTGGACAAGATGGACTTAACAGATACATTCAGAGCATTTCATCCTAAGGCAGCAGAACATGCATTCAAGTACACATGGAACATTCTTCAGAAAAGATCACATACTGGGTCATAAATCAGGCCTCAACTGGTACAAAAAGACTAGGATCATACCATATGTATTTTCAGACCACCATGCTATAAAACTTGAAGTCAGCCATAAGAAAAAATTTTGAAAGAATACAGATACATGGAGGTTAAAGAACATCCAATGAAAGAATGAATGGGTTAACCAGGAAATCAAAGAAGAAATAAAAAAACTTCAATGAAATGAAATAAAAATGAAAACATGACAGTCTAAAACAAGATGATCCTAAGAGGACCCGAGAGGTCCTTGCAATACAAGCCTACCTCAAAAAGCAAGAAAAGTCTCAGATACACAACCTAACCTTATACCTAAAAGAGCTAGAAAAGGAATAGCAGATAAAGCCTAAAGCCTGCAGAAGAAGGAAAATAATAAATATTAGAGCAGAAATAAGCAATACAGAAAAAAGAACAAAAAACCCCAGTAGAACAGATCAATGAAACTAAGAGCTGGTTCTCTGAAATAATTAATAAAATTGATAAACTGCTAGGCCAGACTTATCAAAAAGAAAAGAGAAAGGACTCAAGTAATAAAATTATGAATGAAATAGGAGTGATTACAACCAACAGCACAGACATACAAACAATTTTAAGAGAATATTATGAAAAATTATATGCCATCAAGCTAGGCAAGTGAAGAAAGAGACAAATTCCTAGAAACATACAAAACCAAAATGAAAGAGGAAGAAATACGAGTTTGAATGGACCCATAACCAATAAGGACATTGAATCAGTAGTTAAAAATCTCCCAACAAACAAAAGCCCAGGGCCAGATGGCTTTCCAAGGGAAATCTACCAGACAATTAAAAGAGTTAATAACTATACTTCTCACAAACTGTTCCAAAAAACGTAAGTAGAAGGAAAACTTCCAAACTCATTCTACGAGGTTAGCATTACCTTGATTCCAAAACCAGACAAGGACCCCACCAAAAAGGAGAATTACAGGCCAATATCCCTCATGAACATGGATGCAAAAAATCTCAACAAGAGAAACCCAATAGTACAGTAAAAGAATTATTTGCCACAATCAAGTGGGATTTATTCCTGGGCTGTAGGGGTGGTTCAATATTTGCAAACCAATCAGGGTGATATACCACATTAATAAAAGAAAGGTTAAGAACCATATGATGCAGAAAAAGCATTTGACAAAATTTTACAGCATCCGTTCTTGATAAAAACCCTCAAAACAAAATAGGTATAGATGGAACATATCTTAACACCATAAAGGTCATATACGAAAGACCCACAGCTACTATCCTCAGTGGGGAAAAACTGAGAGCTTTTCCTCTACAGTCAGGAACAAGACAGAGATGGCCACTCTCATCATTATTATTTAAAATAGTACTGGAAGTCTTAGCTTCAGCAATCAGACATCAAAAAGAAAGAAAAGGTGCCCAAATTGGCAAGGAAGAAGTCAAACTTTCACTATTTGCATACGATGCAATACTCTTATGTAGAAAACCCAAAAGACTCCACCAAAAAATTGAAAATGAATTCAGCAAAGTTGCAGAATATAAAATCAAGGTACAGAAATTTTTTGCGTTTCTATTTACCAACAATGAATCAGCAGAAAAAGAAATCAAGGAATTGATCCCATTTACAACTGCACCAAAAACTGTACGATACCTAGGAAAAAACTTAACCAAAGAGGTAAAAGATCTGTACTCTGAAAACTTTGAAAGAAATTGACGGGGACGCAAAGAAATGGAAAAACATTCCACACTTATAGACTGGAGGAACAAACATTGTTAAAATGTCTGTTCTGCCCAAAGCAATCTGTACATTTAATGCAATTCCTATCAAAGTATTTTGCATTTTTCACAGAACTAGAACAAACAACCCTAAAATTTGTATGGAACCACAAAAGACATCAAATAGCTAAAGCAATCCTGAAAAACAAAAGCAAAGCTGGAGGCATCATGATTCTGGACTTGAAGCTCTATTACAAATCTGTTGTCATTAAGAGTATGGTACTAGTAGAAAAACAGACACATAGATCAATGGAACAGAAGAGAAAACCCAGAAATGGACCCACAACTATATGCTCAACTCATCTTTGACAAAGCAGGAAAGAATATCCAATGGAAAAAAGATAATCTCGTCAACAAATAGCGTTAGGAAAACTGGATAGCCACATGCATAAGAATGAAACTGGATCACTTTCTTATGCCACACAAAATTAGAAATGGATGAAAGACCTAAACATGAGATAGGAATAGAGGAGAAAACAGGCAGCAACCTCAGACTTTAGCCACAGCAATTTCTTACTAGACATGTCACTGAAGGCAAGGGAAATAAAAGCAAGCATGAACTACTGGGACTTTATCAAGATAAAAAGCTTCTGCACAGTGAAGGAAACAATCGACAGAACGAAAAGGTAGCCTATGGAATGGGAGAAGATATTTGTAAATGACATATTTGATAAAGGATTATTATCCAAAATCTATAGAGAGCTTATCAAACTCAACATCCCCAAAACAAATAATCCAGTTAAGAAACGGGCAGATGTGAATATATACTTTTCCAAATAAGACATCTAGATGGCTAATGGACACATGAAAAGATGCTTAACATTACTCATCATCAGGGAAACAAATCATAACCACCATCTCACACCTATCAGAATGGCTAAAATTAACAACGCAGGAAACAACAGGTGTTGGCGAGGTGGCAGAGAAAGGGAAACCCTCTATACTGCTGGTGGGAATGCAAACTGGTGCAGCCACTCTGGAGAACACTGTGGAGGTTCCTCAAAAAGTTAAAATAGAACTAACCCTATGACCCAGCAATTGTACAACTAGGATACAAAAATACTGATTTGAAGGGGTACTTGCATCCCAATGTTTATGGCAGCAGTATCAACTACAGCCAAATTATGGAAAGAGCCCAGATGTCCATACACTGATGGATGGATAAAGAAGATGTTAGGCAGACAGACAGACACACACACACACATACATACACACACAGGCATATTATTCAGCCATCAAAAAGAAACCTTACCATTTGCAATGACGTGGATGGAACTAGAGTGTATTACACTATGTGAAATAAATCAGAGAAAGATAAATACCTTATGATTTCACTCATATGTAGAATTTAAGAAACAAACAGATGAACATTTGGGAAGGCAAAAAGAGAAAGAGAGAGAAGCAGTATTCTAAGAGACTTTTAAGGATGGAGAACAAGCTGAGGGTTGACGGAGGGAAGTGCAGGGATGGGCTAAATGGATGATCAGTATTAAGGAGGTGAGCTTTTATGTTCAGCACTGGGTGCTGTATATAAGTGATGAATCACTAAATTAAAACAAACAAACAAACAAACAAAAAAACCCCCACAAAAACAAAAGGTGTCCTAAGCAAATCAATGGTAGAAGCCAGACGTGTGTGTGTGTGTGTGTGTGTGCGCGTGTGTGTGCAGTCAGGGAAGGTATTTAGCTTATTAAAGACAAGAAACCAGTTTCAGTTATTTAGAAAGTCATTTTTCACAACTAAAATGCTAAATAACCGTGTATCACTGAAATCAAAAGTACCAAGTTTTTACAAGGAGTGTGTCACTTCTGCATTTTGTTAGACTATAAAATGGAATCTTATGTAAAATATTAGTTTAATGAGCATATCATTAAAAAAGTGAAAATTTTGAAGTAAAGCATTTCACTCATGGGTACTATTACATTTTCACATTTTTAAATATAATAGCACATTTTCCTAAAATGATCATTTGTTACAACTATTACTTATATATGTGGCCAAAAAAACCCAGCCCATTTTCTACTTCTTTTTTAAAAAAACCACTGTTCTCTGTTCCTTTTCCTTTAGCCAAGTTTCTTTCCTCTCCACTTTATGGACCTTCCCCACCACCACCACATCTCAAATCAAAACCAGTAAATATAAGAAAACGGGTCCCACTGAGGAAAGAATTGGGCAGCTGTAGTAGCATCCTCAGAGAGAGACCTTAATTGGTGTAAAGAAGGTGACTAATAACCCTCTTGTCTCTTCGATCAGGCTGCAAATGGAGGTAAATGCTTCCTCCTAGCAAGCAGCCATCTAACTAGAAACAGCCATTACCACAAAAAGAAACCTTCTGTTGATGACCCTTTAACCCCTATTTACCCTGTAGGTAGCTTTGTCTCTTTTAAGATATACGAATAGAATAAATACAAGGAAATGTCAATAGAGAGGAGGAGACAGGATATTTTTCTAACCTTATGTAACTAGATGGTAAACTGGAGCAGTTTCACTTTCCTTTCTTCCTTATATTAGCTATTTTTTGAAAAGATATCAAGAAGGTTGATGTGTCCAGTGTTCTATGTTAATTATGAACATTCAAATGACTAATCACTTCCTTTATAATATTCCCAGTGTTTAAATTATTATTAGTAATAAACTTTACTCTTTACTTTTTCATTAGATAAGCAACTTCTATATGAATAAGGACAAAAAATTATTTATTTTATAATTGTCAGTCATAAATGTCACAGTTTTAGCCACTGACTCTTTCCAAGGCTTTCGGTGCATTATAACATTTTTCAGCCAAGGAAAGAGAACTATGACAGGTTTTCAAAATATGATTATTAACATACCAACATACAAATGAGGAACAATGGTACTAAATTCATTTTACACTAGGGTATTAGCTTGACATATTAACAATTAAATCCAACTCTTTAGAGGAGCATTAGATTTCATGAGTTCATAATCTAACAGTTTCCTATTTCCATTCTGGGCTTCTACATACAACAATTTATATTAATGTCTCAGGAATATGTGAATAGTGAAATATCTACTAGGGAGCCTACTGAAAAATACTAACGCTGAATGTAGCCAATGAAAGCAATTATTTCAAGCGGTAGGAGACAGACGTTTATCAGCTGGTATTTGGACTATATACATTGAAATCAGTATCACTTGTCGATTTATAGATTCAAAATAAATGCACTGAGAGGGAAAAACAGAACAAAATTAGTATTAAACTCTTTTTGATAAATCACTAACTTACATAATGGAAGGAATAAAACATAACAAGTACTTACGCATAAACACTTTTGTATTTCCCATCTTTTCCAGTACTTGAGACCAGAATTTCGTAACTATAGAGCTCTGGTACAGTAGTCTCATCTGTTTCACCATTAATGAAACTGGAAGGAGGTGACCAGGTAAGTACTACTGTCCTTGCCTGGATGTCTGAGGCCTGCAAAAACATAATATTTAAAAGCTCTTTGAAAACAACTGTAAATAATGAAATAACTGTGAATAATGAACAGTGAAAATTTAATGAGGTTTCAAGATTAAATAAAATATATCTGTATCTACTTATATAAAATGGCCCACAAATAGAAACCTGTCCATTTGTAGATGAGATATAATCTGTTATAAAAGGGTAGATGGGTTCAATAAAAATTTAAAGACCATTATAGGCCATTCAAAACTATTAGTGTAAACACCATGTACAGTTAAAAAAGAATAAAGTCCACTTGTAATGTATTGAAAAGGGTCATTTCCTTAATGTAGAAAGTGTCTTACAATAAGATAAAGAACAGAGAAAAATGAGCAAAGGTCATGGACTGACCAAAGAAATGTAAGAAATGATGTGTAAATGCATTCATAAAAATAAATGGTACACTAAAACAAGGTATCACTTTTCATCCAATAGATTAGAAGATTAAAAAGCTAGTAACATCTCCATTGTGTTAAGGTAAGGGTTTAGAGAAATGGGTTGAAGTATAATCAACATACAGTGTTATATTCTTTTCTGATGTGCAATATAGTAACTCAACAATCTGACACATTTCTAAGTGCTCACCATGGTGTGATGATGATGATGATGATTATTATTATTATTTTTTAGAGAGGGAGAGGGAAGGAAGGAGAGAGCGAGAAAGAGAGAGAGAGCAGAGAGGGAGGGCAGAGGGAGAGGGAGGGAAGGAGAGAGGGAGAAAGCAAGCAAGCAAGCAAGCAAGCAAGCAAGCAGAGAGGGAGGGCCAGAGGGAGAGGGAAAGAATCTTAAGCAGGCTTCATGCTCAAATCCAGAGCCACCCAGGTGCTCCCTTAAGTGTATTCCTAATCCCCTTTATTTACTTTACCATCCCCAAACTCATATCCCCCCTGGCAACCACCAGTTTGTTCTCTGTATTTCAGAGTCTGTTATTTGGTCTCTTTACTATTTTGTTTGCTCATTGGTTTTGTTTCTTAAATTCCACATATGAGTGAAATCATATGGTATCTGTCTTTCTCTGACTTATTTCACTTAGTATTATACCATCTAGGTCCTTCCATGTTGTTGAAAATGGTGACATTTCATTTTTTATGACCGAGTAATATTCCACTGTATATATGGTAATACACATACCACATCTTTAGTCATTCATCTATGGGTGGCTACTTGGACTGCTTCCATATCTTAGCTATTATAAATAATGCTGGAACATAGGAGTGCATATATATTTTTGAATTAGTGTTTTTGTTTTCTTTGGATAAATGCCCAGTAATGGAATTACTGCATCATATGGTAGTTCTGTTGATTTTTTGAGGAACCTCCATATGGTTTTCCACAATGGCTATACCAATTTGCATTCCCACAGAAAGTATACAAGGGCTCCCTTTTCTCCACACCCCTGCCAATGCCTGTTATTTCCTGTCTTTTTGATTTTAGCCATTCTGAGAGGTGTAAATTTTCAGCTATCTCATATTGGTCTAGTCTCAACATTTTAATTTTGCTTTTGCTGCCCTTGCCTAAGGAGACAGATGCAGAAAAACGTTCTACATCCGATGTCAAAGAAATTTCTGCCCATGTTTTTTCTTCTAGGAGTTTTATGTTTTTAGGTTTCAAGTTTAGGTCTTTAATGCATTTTGAGTTTATTTTTGAGTAACTATATTCATAATTAAATAAATGTAAATTAAAATAAGGTACCACCTTTCAACTAACACATTAGGAAGATTAAAGAGCTAGTAATAGCCACTGTGTTAATGGTTTGGAGAAATGGGCACTCTCTTAAATGTACTTAAGAGTATATACTGGTAGGATCCCTGTGTAGAGCTACTTGGGAACCATTATAAAAATTTACAATGTGCTTATAGTTCAATAATTCCATTCCTGAACTTTTTTCAGGGAAATATCCTATGAACTTACATACATAAATACATGTACTTAAGAATATTTATTGCAGCACTGTTACTAATGGCAAGAAATTGGAAGTATGAGTACAGTTTCTTAACACATTACTATGCAGGTGTTCAAAAAAGAATGAGGAAAATATTTATGTGCTGACATTTAAACATGTCCTTAATATATTGATGCTATGTAATGGGGGAAAAGGGAAGCTACAAAGCAGTATGTATGCTATGATCTCAGTTGTGTTAAAAAATTTTTTTTAAATGCACACAAGTATCTGGAAATATACTATACAAATGTACTAATTCTCACCTTTGGGGATTTTGTGCATATGTGTGGTGGGATACAGGGAGAGTTGTGAGAAAAAAACAGAAGGTGTTAGTAGTATTTTGTACATTTTGGATTACTGGAATAATTTATGCATATGTATTCTTTTATAATAAAAAAGTAATAAAGAGGGAAAAAAGCCTAAGGATTAAACTAAAGACTGGTAAGAAAGGTTATCAGATCACACCTAGATTCTAATGTAAAAGCTTGCTGTAAAATTATCTATATTTAGGGGTGTCTGGGTGACTCAGTCTGCCTTCAGCTCAGGTCATGAACCCAGGGTCCTGGGATCGAGCCCCCCATCGGGCTCTGCTCAGCAGAGCAGACCCTCTCCCACTGCCCCTGCTTATGTTCCCTCTCTCGCTGTGTCTCTCTCTGTCAAATAAATAAAATCTTAAGAAAATTATATTTAATGACTATCCCAGTGTTTCTTTTTTTTTTTTTTAAAGATTTTTTATTTATTGATTTGACAGAGAGAGAGATCACAAGTAGACAGAGAGGCAAGCAGAGAGAGAGAGAGAGGGAAGCAGGCTCCCTGCCGAGCAGAGAGCCCGATGCGGGACTCGATCCCAGGACCCTGAGATCATGACCTGAGCCTAAGGTAGCAGCTCAACCCACTGAGCCACCCAGGCGCCCCTATCCCAGTGTTTCTAAATATAAAACCACCAATCACTAGGATGAGGACCACCCCTATCTTAATGAGGCAGTATAGCAGTCTCTACACAAGCATGACATTTTCCCCTTCTCAAAGTTCTTAAAGCCTGAATAAATTTAGAAGGCTATTACTGTATATATTCTGCTTCTGTTAAAACACAGAAATATATTTTACTTACTGTCATACTACCTTAAAAATGTTTTAGTACTATGTTTCATTTACAATGTGCTTAAAATGATTCCTTGTTTTAACCATGTCCATCTGGCTATTAACCTGTAACTATAGGTTACTGTAGCTTTTGTTTTTTTTTTTTTAAAGAAACCTACTGTTTACATACATATATGTACAACCTTTCAAGTACTCTGAATTTGTATGTACTTTCAAGTATACTGTACTTGGAATCTGATTTTATGAGATTATCCTGTTACACTATGAGAACAAGTAAGTGAACAATACTCTGAAGGTAGGTCAGCCAAAAGCATGAATTGGCACCTAATTTTTGAAGTTGACTTAAAAGTATAGGTGGTAGAGAGGAACTTAAGGAGGAAGGCAAAAGACTTGCCACAATTTGCTTGATGATACTGAACTCTCAAACCTTTAGGGTCCCAGGTCTCACCTACAAGAGTTGCTGAGTGAGATGATTTATTTACCATAACTAATCAAATATAATATTTTTAAAAAGACTTTCATTTTGGAATAAATCTAAATTTACAGAAAAGTTGGGAAGATAGTAAGTATACAGAGTGCTTGTATACCCAGCTTCCTCTATTAGTATCTTACATAATAATGTAATTTTGTGAAAACTAAGAAATTAACATTGGTAGAATACTATCAGCAAAATTTCTAACTAATCTATACTTCTAACATTTAACTAAATAGACTTCCAGGATATATTGTTGAATTTAGAAAATATACTTAAAAGACAGACAGACACACTGCTAATTTCAACTTTTCTAGGAATCTGCTTTTACAGAGAAAGTCTTGATCCCAACTCAGTCTATTAAAATGGTATTTTATTACTTGCACATAAATGTTAAGGCACAAAAAAAGAAGTAATTACATTGGGGTTGCTGTGGAAAACTTCATGAGAAATGAACTTTAAATAAAATTTTAAAGGATTTGGTTGGGATATAATTTGGTAGAAGAAGAAATGGGTAATTATTATAGGAACGAGTAATTTGTTTTCCTAAGTTTATACTTATAACCTGGTGTCCAAAGAACATGTATGAGTGTGTATTTTGAAAAGCTGCTCTAGTAATTTCACTCCCATGGGAAGCACAGATTCAGGGGAAAAGAGAAACACAAAGGGCCATTAAGAAGATCACAAAGGAAAGAGGAAGACAGTCAAGTCTTGAAAACAAGAGTAATGGTTTTAAGATAGTAAGTGAGGGACAGTGTCAAACAGTGCTGGGAAGCCAAGGAGAAAAATGCAATCTGAACAATGCATAAAAATGCTGTATCTAGTGCCGGTTTCAAAAGATTATTAAAGGGTTGTAAAGAAAAGGGAGGTGGACTTCAATAAAGCTACAGTGGAATTCCTGTGTAAAGATGTAGTACCTCTGTGTGTATGTGGGAAGCTGGGGAAGAGTGGATCCTAGAAATTCTAAGTAAAAGAACTGCTAAAGCTTGGATTTCAGTTTGGCATTAAAGATAAAGAGGAAATGTAAGGTGATATTGATATTGTGATCAGGAAAACTTGGGAGAGGTATGTGATAACTGATGGATATACTGAAAGGAAACAGAGAACAAAAGGGATCTATTTAATTCAATTCCTTTTTCGTTTTGAGAAACAATGGAGAAAATAACTTAGAAAAGATTAAGAAACTGATTTTCTATAAAGTTCTAGTTGTTAGCAAAACATACAAATTTGGATATTCTTTTTTTCCCCAATTTTTTTTTTTTAAAGTAAGCTCTATGGCCAATGAATGTGGGCTTGAGCTCATGACCCCAAGATTGAGTTGCATGCTCTACCAACTGAACCATCCAGGCGACCATGAACTTGGAACATTCTTTAGGATGCCTTAGGAGATGTGGTTCTAAAGAAAGTGGTGAATAATGAGGGTAGAAAATACAGTTTGGAAATCATCTGAAATGAGTCTTTATTTGTATGCTTACTTCAGAAATAAAATTTGCCTTTTTTTTTTTTTTTTTGGTTCCTCAAATGTGTTATGTTTAGTACTTTTCAAATGTTGCTCTCTGCAATACTGTCCCCACACTAACCCTCACAGTCCACAATGTTCAACCACTACTTTTTCTTTAAATTTCAGTTCACCGGGGCACCTGGGTGGCTTAGCTGTTAAGCGTCTGCCTTTGGCTCAGGTCATGATCCCAGGGTCCTGGGATAGAGCCCCACATCACGCTCCCTGCTCTGCAGGAAGCCTGCTTCTCCCTCTCCCACTCTCCCTGCTTGTGTTCCCTTGTTTACTTTCTCTCTCTCTGTCAAATAAATAAATAAATAAATAATCTTATAAAAAATAAATTTCAGTTCATCATCCTTCCTTAGTGAAATTTCTTTTAACATCCTGTCAAGGCCTAGTTCCCCTATTATTATATATTCTTATAGCACTGTATCTCTGTTCTGGCACTCCACAGATATAATCTTACATTTATTCCATGACTTAATCTACTAACAAAAGTTCTGAAAGCAGGGGCCATGCCTATCTATTTCCAGCATTCAGCACAGCATATGGCATTTTATTAGTGGTCAAATATTTACAGAGTAAGTGATACATTTATTTTGGTGCTCTAAATGAACAAGAGCATGCAAAAACAACTACACACACACAAACACACACACACACAAACACACACACAGATATACACACACACCCCTAACCTATACTTCACAGCTCACAAGTAATTTAGTAAAGATAGAAACAAAATGAACAAAAAAAAAAAAGCAAAACCAAACCAACAACATGACTTTTTTCTATGACACAGGACTTATTTTACAAAATTACATCTTCCTTATAATACTGGGCAAGAAAATCTTTAAAAGAACTGTTTTAAGATTTATGGCCTGAAAAATAATGCTTTTGATATTAGAGACTGTAACAAGTAAATGCTGCTAGTATAAACTATTATTTCATTCAAATACCAATTCTATTAAGGCTTGAAAATTCTTTTTATTAATCTAGTGATATACATTTGGATAGACATAGATTTTGGAAAGCTATTGACTGAATTTCTTATCAAACCTGCTCTTGCTTCAGTTTACTCATCTGTAAGATAGGGAAAAGAGTACACAATAGGTTGTTCTAGAAATTAAATAATGCATATGTTTTCAAAGTACCCTGAACAGAGTCTGACACTAAGTAAACTTGTATTAGCTATTATTATGAAATAATTCTGTGTAGGTTTACATTAATTTACATGTATAAGCTTAATTTTTTCAGAGACCTCAGATTAGAATGGAAGAAAACTAGAGCATCCAAATCTATTTAGGTAGAAAAAGTAGAAACCATAATACTTATTAGATAAGTACTTATTAGATAGACTTATTAGGTAAGTGACTGGCTTATTTCAATTTCCTAACATGGTATAAAATTAAAGATAAGCTTTTGTGGAGAGGGTAGTAAGAGAGTAACAACAACTTTTCTAATCTGTTTCCATACAAGAATAAAGCAAAGTATTTTTTTGTAACTTAGCACAAGATATTTTACCATGGATTTTTTTTTTTTTTTTTTTTTTGCAGGGAAGAGATAGAAGGTTTTGTTTTGTAAATCAAGAAATATTTTTATCAATGTTTAATAAATGGGCTTATCCTGCCCGAGAAAGCCCTGTCATCTGCTTTCACTGTATCTTACACTTCTCCTTCCTCCACTGCACTATGTTCCAATAAACATAGTCTATTGGGTCTATCTGGCAAACTTGCCAGGATTATTCCTGCTTTCCCTCTTCCATTCCTTCCAACTTTTTCAACTTTTCTAACCCTTCAGAGGCTCAGAGAAGGTTTTCCTGATTGCTGTATTTAATGTAATTCCGCTCTCCTCAGTAATGCATCACATTACCCTATTTCTGTAAAAACTCTTTTTACTATTACATATGATTTGGTTTATATTTGCTTTTTATTTATTGATATATAATAGGATCTCAATAAGTATTTTGATTGGTTGTCATGGCAATACTGTGACTGACTGAGCAACTATGCAGCTCTTGAAAGAATAATATGATGACACAGATTGCTAAGGCACAGCACAATGAAAAAAGCCTGCCACAGAACAAAAGGGTACAGTATGATCCCTTTTTCATAAAAAGACAATAGAAAAAATATATTCCGATGGACGAACACATACAAATAAAGTGAAATTGGAAACCAAACTGTTAGGTAGGACTAAATCAGAGGAGTGGGTAACAGGAATTTATTTCTACTCCCTATATGCGTGTATTACTTACATATTTCACCATAAAGGAGTTCACACATAACTAATAAAATAAAAATTTAATCTTAATTACTGACACATCTATTAGCTTACTTTTTTTTTTTTTTAAGATTTTAAAAATTTATTTGACAGAGAGAGATCACAAGTAGATGGAGAGGCAAGCAGAGAGAGAGAGAGGGAAGCAGGCTCCCTGCTGAGCAAAGAGCCCGATGCGGGACTTGATCCCAGGTCCCTGAGATCATGACCTGAGCCGAAGGCAGCAGCTTAACCCACTGAGCCACCCAGGCGCCCCTATTAGCTTACTTTTAAAATGGAGTGAAGTTACAGCTCCTAAAGCAGAGAAAGAAAAATGGCTAATCTGAGTAACTGCGACATTTTGGTTTTTCCTTCTAGTTTTTTTCCTTTTTCTAAAAAGTCTTTCCTTAAGTGGCTGGTTAGCTCAGTTGGTTAGAGCGTGGTGCTGATAAAGCCTTTCATTTATAAGACTGTAATCATGGTATCTAAATAATTTGATCACTAGCACTGTTCCCTACAATAGCATATTTGAATGTTTTTGGTCTTCAAAAATCATATTTTTAAATGATTAAAATATTCTGTCCGTAAAAATATAACTTATGAATTCTTTGTTTTATTTTTATTAATATTAGTGCTGCAAAAAACATTTTTTGTTTGTGAGGCTTTTTATTAAGACATGAGACCTCATGGTTTCAGAGAAGTGTAATTTTGATTACTAGTAAAAAACACTTTGGGGTCTTAATGGGTTTAAAAAAGTTCAATTTGTATAAGTTCTTAAAATTAATCTTTTGTCAAATCTGATGCAAGTATTTTTCCTATTAAGATCTTAGCCTTTATTTAGGTTATTTAAAAAATAAGCAGAAAATTTTATGTAGCCAGGTTTGCTGCCTGCCTTTTGCTGATTTTATTTCTTCTATTACATGTACACTTACAAAGGGTTGGGAAATACAAACCTCTTCTATAGTAACTCTTTTTGCCTCTGGAGTTAACTGAATATATTTTTTATGGAAATCATATAGATGGATTTTTAAAAAACTGATAATCAGTTGTACCCACAGTATTTATTACATCTTTGTTTGTTCCAATGATTTTCAATGCCATTCAGCATACATTAAATCCTAGTTTAAGAAATGAACTGACTGAATATTTTGTTTCACTAAAAACAATTTTTTCTTACGTTAGATCTACATTGATCCATTATCGATATCATATTTTTACAGTTTTTCTTTTCTTTTCTTCTTATTTATTTATTTATTTTTTAAATATTTTATTTATTTATTTGACAGAGAGAGATCACAGGTAGGCAGAGAGACAGGCAGAGACAGAGGAGGAAGCAGGCTCCCTGTGGAGCAGAGAGCCAGATGCGGGGCTTGATCCCAGGACCCTGGGATCATGACCTGAGCTGAAGGCAGAGGCTTTAACCCACTGAGCCACCCAGGTGCCCCTCTTTTTTTTAATTTAAGTAATCTCTACACTCATGTGGGGCTTGAACTTACGACCACAAGATTAAGAGTCATGTGTTCTTCCGACTGAGCCAGTCTGGTGCCCCTGATATAATTAAGTTTTAAGCAAGGCCTGAACTAGAATACACCAAAATCCTACGTGAATACTACTTAATATAAATGTTAAGAAAATACATGCAATACTTACCACTGGCTTGACAATGTTGGAGAGAAGTGCTTCAAAAGCTTTAGTTTCTTCATCTTTTTCTAAAAAAGAGAAAGAAAAAAAAAGATTATTTAAAAAATGAACTTAAATATAATCATCCCTCTCTTTCCACAATATGTCTTCTGAAACTATGTTGGTAATCTGAGATTTTTTATTTCCTAATTTTTACTTTAGTTCATATTCAGCAGTTTGTAGTTCTTCAAGATTCTTCTGCTTTAGTTTCTATTTTCATTTTAACTGTGATCCCTAATTATAATGCCACTATATATATCTGAACCAGTCACTAAGTTTTTCTTATACCAAGTATATTTTTATTCACAGCTGTAAAAAATACTCTCCAGAATTCTCATTCTCCAATCTCCTACCTCTTAATAGTTAACAAGTTAAATGAGTAGTTCCTTCTTCCCTCCCCCCCCTTTTTTTTTAAAGATTTATTTATTTATTTGAGAGACAGTGAACACATGGGGTAGGGTTTAAGAGGCAGACAGAATCTTCAGCAGATCCTCGCTGAGTGTGGAGCCTGACGTGGGGCTTGATCCCATGATCCCAAGGTCATGACTTGAGCTAAAACCAAGAGTTGGACGCTCAGCTGACTGAGCCACCCAAATACCCAAGTATTTGTGTCTTGGCAGGTCTTAACTGTAGTTCCCAAAATAAGAATGTAATTGACTTGACTATAACTTATATTCAAACCGATAAATCTGTAACTTTATCTTAAGTCCTGTAAAATATCAGTACTGAAAAAGATTCATCAGAAGGTCTCAAAAATATGGGAGAACATTTGTTAATATAAAGGTTAATGGGCGCCTGGGTGGCTCAGATGGTTAAGCGTCTGCCTTTGGCTCAGGTCATGATTCCAGGGTCCTGGGATTGAGTCCCGCATCTAGCTCCCTGCTCAGCGGGGTGTCTGTTTCTCACTCCTCCTCTGCTCCCACTGCTTGTGCTCTCTCAAATTCTCGGTCAATAAAAATAAAATCTTTAATATAAATATTAATGTACTAACCATGAAGCTATTAAAGCATTAAAATGTATTGGTGGGGAATGGAAATTATAAAGAAAAGGAAGTAGTGCTCAGAGTTCATATGGTAGAAGTCACAGGTTAGGGGAAAGGTCCAGGGAAATAAGGGGATTTTAAGAAAAAAGAACTTCTGAAGAAAGCAATGAAGAATACTCATTCCTATAGAGTATATAGATCAATTAGTGAATGACATAATGAGTTGCTCTCAGGGACTATAAATAAAGAAGTTAGCAGAAATAAAGAGTTTTGATAAAAACCAGCAGAGCCATGTCAAAGGGACCAGAAAAAGAGGAAAATGAATCTGGATGAACTTTACCAGGGTTTTTCTTTCAACGAATTTCTCTTAGGTAGTAAAATCTGCCATTTAGATGAAATTACTAATTGAGCTTTCAAAAATTGCAAAAAGAAGTACCCTGGTAACAATTTAGGTTCTAAAACTTCTCACATTTAGGAAGGGTTGTTAAAAATAGTTTATCTGGAGCATGATGAAATAATTGAAAGAATATCTTTATAGTTGATTAAATAATGATGAAAAGTACCAACAGGAATAGATGAGTATTTTAAGTAGTTACCTTCTACTTCTGTATCAATTTGTGCACCACCTTTCCCTTTTCCTGACTTATTCTTTGCTGATCCTACGTTTACACCACTAGCATTCTGCCCTTTTGTAAGCCCATTATGTTCATTTATGGGAGAAGGGCATTTCTGGGGTGAAGATGGTGGACTGCTCATTTTATCTTTCTGTGTTCCTTGGCGATCCTTTAATTTTTTCTGCAAACGTTCATATGTTTTACTAGATCTTTCATCTCTAAAGTTGGACCTTCCATGTGTAGAGTGAGCATCTAGGAAGAAATAAAAATATTTTAAAACATTATTTACTCCAAATACATTTATGACATAAGAAAGGAATGGGAAATAAATCTATTATGTTGCATAAAAACTATTATAAAATATTTTAAAGAATAATTCTGCAAAACAAAGCTATTTCTGTTTATCTACTGACAGAACCAAATTTTTTGATAATTATATATATAAAATACATTTACAGAGACATTGCTTTTCTTCATCTTTTTCCAATTAACTCTTAACCTCCACAGAAGCAGCTGATTACAACATCATTAAGTTATGATAATCATAATTGAGTTAAGAACTGAAATGAACTGTGCACAGTTCTTTTTCTTTTACTCTTTTGTAATCATCACTTTTAGCATCTCTTTCAACTTCAAACATATAATGGAGGTAAACAGAAAACCACCACCTGCCTAAATTCTCTTATGACTCAACGAAACAAAACAAAACAGCCCATAAAAAACCAAACTGGATCATCACTGAAAAATAGTTATAGGAGTTAATAAAAAGAAATAAGTAGGATTGTTTACTAAGAACAGAGTCTAGGTACAAAACACTGTATCTCTGGATATCAAAAACTCAAAGTTGTGATTTAGAAGAATGTATTTATTCTAATAAGAGTCACATAGCACTATAATAAAATCAATACACTTCATAAATACCGTTACCTGTCCCAGAGTTTATTTTTATTTTAAATTTAAAATCTGTAATGAGAAAAATATTTTTTAAAAAGCCTAAAAAAATCTCAATAAAGTTTTAACTTATCAGTGTTTTAAGAAAATTAATACAGTATTTTTGAAATAGTACTAGAAGGATATGTACAATAATACTAGAATAAAAAACACAGGAATTTGAGTATCTACATATAGAAGAATGAGTCTGGACACCTACCTCACACCATATACAAAAATTAAGATAAATCAAACACCTAAATGTAGGAGGTAAGACTATTAAGTTCATAGAAAGAAACACAGGTGTCAATATATATGGCTTTGGTTTAGGTAATAGTTTCTTAGGACCAAAAGCATAAGCTATCCAAGAAAAATCAGATTTCACCAAAATTTTTCTTTTCTGCATTAAAGGATACCATTGAGAAAGTAAAAAGACAATGTAATAGAAAATATCTGTATATCATATATCTGCTAAGGGACTTGAATCCGTATTTTATCAAAACTCTTAAAACTTAACAATAAAAAGGCAAATAACCTAACTAAAAAAAAATGGATGCAGGATCTGAATAGACATCTCTCCAAAGAAGATACACAAATAGCTAATAAAGCTAATGAAAAGGTGTTCAACATCAGTAATGAGAAATAAGCAAATCAAAACCACAATGAGACACAAGTTCACATTCACCATAATGGTTAGAATCAAAAGACAGTAACAAGTTTTATCAAGGATATGGAGAATTTAGAACCCTCACATATTGCTTGTGGGAATATAAAATGGTGCAGTCACTAGGGAAAATGGTTTTTATGCCTTTTCAGTAAGTTAAACATAGAATTACTATATAAGCCAGCAATTCTACTTTTAGGAATCTCTCAGAATTGAAAACATGTCTACATAAAAACTTGTATACAACTGTCAAAGCATCATTATTAATATTTCATAATGGATAAAAAGTAGAAACAACTCAAATGTCCATCAATTAATACATGGATAAACAAAATTATATCCCTATAACGTAATATTTTCAGCCATACAGAGGAATGGAGTACTGATTATGCTAAACTTTTGAACTAAGCCTTAAAAAAATAGCCCAAGTGAAAAAAAGCTAGACATAAAAGCCAACATATTGTATGAACATTTATATTAAATATATATATTGTGCATATATTTATATGAAAGAGCCAGAATCTCCTTTTCATGAAGGCTGCTCCTAGTTATAAAACTATCATTATTAGGATCTAGTAGTAGACACTTTGGCTTATAAACTCACACACAGTAGGATTCTTGTTTTTCATCACTGGATAGCTAGTTTTTAGATTTGTACCCCCTGTGGATTTGTATTTTTCACTTTCCTTCACAACACTGTGAATCATATCCAAGTATTCTAATATCCCCTTCTGAATAACAAAGGATTTTAACAACGTGAAATAGCAACAGTTATAACATCTAGCTTTTTAAAATAATTTTCTCAAATACCTTTTTAAAAATAAGTCATAATTAACAGTAAAGAAAATAGAAGGATGAGAGTGATTTGTAATATAAACTCTTGCTACTCAAGTTTTCACCGGGCCACTTCAATGAGCCTCACCTGGGAATTTGTCAGAGATGCAAAACCCAAACCCTATCCAGACCTACAGAATCAATGTGTTACTTGGGCAAGAGAAGTTTGAAAAATATATAAGATATATGACATAATATATATTTATTACTTATAGGCTGTGCTGTAGAATTAAAATTCTGTTTTAGAGTTATTCTATAAGTTTACTAAACATTAATGATAGGTACTGCTAAGAGAGAGTGATGGGTAAGACATTTAGTTGTCAGGAGATGCGTAGTCAAATAAGGGAGAAAGACATACGAATTTAAAAAAAAATCAAATTGTGTTAAGTTCTGTGAAAGAAACAGGTTTCAGTGTGAGAGACTGATAAGGTAAGGTCACAGAGGATCGCTCTGAAAGCTGAAATCCAAAGGGAAAAAAAAAGGAGCCTTCCACAGAAAAGGAAAAGAGTATTCCTGGCAGAGAGAACATCATGTGCAGGGCACTGAGGCAAAAAGAATTTGGAGGTTTTGAAAAACTGAAGGGGAGTGGGGTGGGACAAGTGGGACAAAGCAGTCAGAGGCCACAGGGGATGGCCTTGTGAAGGCCAGTACATTGTAAGCAAGGTCAATTTTGGCCCCCATGGTCATTCGGCAATGTCTGGAGATATTTTTAGTTGTCACAACTGGTTGAGGATGGGAGGGGCGGTAGGAGTTGTATGCTATTGGCATCTGGTAGGGCATGGCTTCTCCTGAATATCCTACAATGCACAGTTTTGTATTGTGAAACACACACTTACCGATTCTCAAATATCAAGAGTGCAGACATGGAAAAATCCTGGTCTAGTAGAAGGTTCAGGATTTTATTCTAAATGTAATGAGAAGTTACTGAAATCTTTTAAATATGAGAATGGTTTGACTTATATTTTAAATAATAACTCAGGCTAAGCCTGGATGGCTGGGGGCAAGAATGACAGCAGAAAACCAACTGGAAGGCAGCTGCTGCTGCAGTTATCCTGACAAGAGCTAAGAGTGGACAAGATTTGAGTAGCAGTGGAAAAAAGTAGATAAAATTTGGAAACTTCTGAAAATAAAACTGATACCAACTGATGTGGGGGTTAAAGAAGGAAGAATAAATTTGATCATGTGGTTTTCACTTGAGCAAACGGAGTAGACAGTTCTACCATGTATCAAGATGAAGATGACAGAAAAGCAGACTACATAATTGAGATTTATGTTTTAGAAACAATGTAACTGATATGCATGAGGCATTTCTGTGGTTATTAAGAAGTCAGAGGTGAGGCTGTCGCTGGAGACACAAATGTGAGACCTGTCAGTATACAGATGGTATTTAAATACATAGGAAAGAATAAGATAATTATTTGGTGTATGTGTGGTTGTCTATTCTTCCCAGCAATTTATTAGCTCCCTGGGGTCCATGCTTAGAGGTCTTGTTTCCTCCCCTACCTCTCTCCCCAGTCCTTTATAGAACCCAGCAACTTTGGTAAGTGGCATCACAACCTTAAATATTTAACAACAGTATGATTGTTCCTGGCTGAAAATTTCTCTCAGAGTCTAGTTGGCAGAAGAGAGAAAAAAAGTTCTTGTTTGAACATGTCCCCACTAAATATCGCTGCACGATGTAAGTTCTTTTTCCTCTTTGATTTTGTTTACTTTTTTGCCTTGAGGGATAATCATGAGGATGAAATACTTAACATAGTGCTTGGGTCAGAGAACATGATTGTGGTATTGTTACTGTTTGGTCATTTCTTTTATATAATAGGAGGAAAGCATCTATTATATATCCAAGTAAAGAGGAACTATCTCCACAAGACAGGAATATTTTTAGATGTCTTACCTACATCTCCATATACTTGTGAAGATTGATACTGTGGCAAATACTGTGTGGCCATGTCTCCAGCTCCAGTCACTGGTGAGTACATATGGCGTGGTGGAGGGGGCATCATGGTTGGGACAGGAATGAAACCAGGCAGAGGAGGATGTGGGGAACGGTGTATGACTGTGTGACTACCCGGATGAAACTCTGGTGCCTGAGGAACCACAACAACTCTTCGAACACCATTGTCTTCAATAACCTACAAAATGAACATTAAACATTTCTTGCATAAGATGTAAGCAATTTTTTGATACAGGTTAGAGTAAGAATTTTTATACCATTAGAAGTTAAATTAAGAAATTTTACAGAATATGAATTATTAAATACACTAAATACATATACATAAGTACTGAACAACATGAAGTAGTTTTTGTTATACAATGCAATATAAATCTTAAATCAATGATGAGATTAGCTAAATAATAATAAAAACAATGAGCCACAATATTAGGTATTTACTTTTGTGTTATGTGCATTTACTGATGCATTAAAAATGAAGGGAGATTCAAAGGAATTTTTGGTTTTAACACAACGAGGGGGCGCCTGGGTGGCTCAGTCAGTTAAGCAGCTGCCTTGGGCTCAGGTCATATTCTCAAGAGTCCTGGGATTGAGCCCTGCAATATGTCTGGTTCCCTGCTCAGTGGGGAGTCTGCTTCTCCCCTCTCTCTGCCCCTTGCCCTGCTCCTGCACTCATGCTCTCGTTGTCTCTCAATAAATAAATAGAATCTTAAAAAAAAAAAAGCACACACACAATAGGGTCAGGAATTAATTTGCTTCCCCATACTATGGATGGGGGTGGGGGATATAAGCTATAGAAAGAACACAAACTGTGAAGTAGAAATGGGGAAAAAACTGGATCCAGATTTCTAAGATCAACCATATATTGCATTTAAGAACAAAATTCTTACAAACATTACCTGGACAATTTTAACAGCTAAAGATCTTTTCAAGGGAGACGAACACCTAATATATTAATTCCCAGTTAAGTATCTGTGGCTTTCAGTTTTAGAAATTACACATCTTTAAAAGGTTTTTATTTTAATTCCAGTTGGTTAACATACAGTGTAATATTATATTCTGGTGTAAAATAATAGTGTTTTAACACTTCCATAGAACATCCAATGCTCACTACAACACATGTACTCCTATCCCCACTACTTGTTTAACCCATCCCCCTTGCCCACCTCCCCCTATGGTAACCATCAGTGTGTTCTCCATAATTACCTGTTTCTTGGTTTGCCTCTCTGTTTTTTCTCTATTTGCTCATTTGTTTAATTCCACATATGAGTGAAGGCATATAGCATTTGTCTTTCCCTGACTTATTTCACTCAGTATAACACTCCAGCTCCATCCACATCATTGCAAATGGCAAGATTTCATTCATTTTTATGGTTGAGTAATATTCCATTGTATACATATATAAAATCTTTTTGTCTCTCAGATCTAGGATTAGGGTTCAGTTTGGGACAGAATAATAGTTAGGGTTAGGGACCGTGTGAGGGTATGTGCTTAACCCTAACCCCTAACCCTAACCCTAAAATTATCCCTCTGCAGAGGTTTCTGAACTGCAGGGTAATAGGCACATACCCTCACACGGTCCCTAAACCTAACTGTTATTCTAGCCCTGAACTGAATCCTAGATATTATATATTTTTCAGTAGGGGTTACACTGCAGAAAAGGAATTTTTTTTTTTTAAGATTTTATTTTTATTTGTTTGTCAGAGAGAGAGCGAGAGAGTGTGCGCATAGGCAGACAGAGAGGCAGGCAGAGGCAGAGGGAGAAGCAGGCTCCCTGCCAAGCAAGGAGCCCAATGTGGTTCTCCATCCCACGACACTGAGATCATGACCTGAGCCAAAGGCAGCTGCTTAACTGACTGAGCCACTTGGCGTCCCAAGAAAAGGAATTCTCAAAATGACAGATTTATTCCCTTTCACTCTCACTGGAGCTGCCAGGACATACAGGAAAGCCCAATAGGATATAAAAGTTTATCTCAAAATTAGGAATCCCTCTATTAAAATAAGGCCCTTAAACTTTTAGACTTAAAAGATTACTCTCCAGGTATAATAAATGACTAATAATACCTTTCTCTTAAGGAAAAAGAAAATAATTAAAATATAAAGCGCTAACTTAGAGGCAAATCCTGCTATTTTCAGGAAGAACAAGTTTTACTATCCTTAAGAACAGCGAAATTTGGGGGTGCCCACCTGGCTCAGCTGGAAAAACATGCAACTCTTGATCTCGCAGTTGTGAGTTCAAGCCCCATATTGGGGATAGTGATTACAAAAATAAATAAACTTAAAAAAATGGAATAGCAAGTTTTGTATATAAATATATACATGCTTGGTAAACACCCCATTAAACTATCCTTACCTGTTGGGAGTATGAGACGAACTGTCTGTACTAGAAGACCAAATGAATTCAGTTTTTTATATACTAGCTCTAGAGCTATAATGTATAATCCTTGCTTCCAGCAAAATAAATGCCTCATATTCTGCCTTTCTTCCCATTTAATTCAGTTCTGAATTCAAGCCTCAGACAAGTACATGTAATTGGCAGAAATGAAATATCTGGAGCTCTAGCTGGAGAAAGTCTGGAAACTATAGATTTTCAGCCTTTAAGCCACAGAGAGGACATTAGGAGGAGTCTGGAATGGATTTTTAGCAAGCCAAACTACAGTGTCTGACACAACATACTACTTTCATCTTTATCAACTCTCCAACTCACTAATCTTAAATGACTCCCATTTCTGATAAGATTATAGTCCATATTCTCTGACCTGGCCTTCAGTCTTGTTCCAACCTATCTTCTTAAATGTATTTTTTTCCTTTACCAAATCCTGAGCCCTTAACTCCAGCCAGTCTGGTATACTAAAGACCTGCCTTCCTACAAACCTGTACATTTCCATATCTTGGACTTCTGTTTATGACATCTTTCTTTTCACTTTGCCTCCCCTTAATATACAACTATGCAAATACCATCTATCCTTCCATATCTAGTTCTAACTTTACCTTCTCCGCTCATTTAAAAAAAGACAAAAACATTGGTAATCTAGGTGAGAAAAAATGTTAGTGATGTCTTTGTGGGGCACACATACTAATAGAGGCAGTGAATACAAAAAGAAGAGTCAATTATTTAGCATGTTGCCAGCAGATAAGTATCATGGGGAAAAAAACAACAACAGGTGAGCGGGATCAGAAGCATTGTGGGAGTGTGACAGGTTGCAGTGTAAAACAGAGTGACCAGAATAGGCCTTACTGGCAAAATGAAATTTGAGCAGACTTAAAGTAACTGAATGAATTATCTAAAAATCTGGAAGAGTGTTCTGGGCAGAGAAAACAGAACAAAGTCCCCAACAAATAAAAGTAGTTTTAGAAGGAAGCCAATGTGCCTGGTTCAGTATAAGGAAGAAGGGTAGGTAGAAGCAGGTAAGGTCAAAGAGATAAAGGGAGTGGTCAGATCAGGAAGGACCAGATGAGCTATCAATAAGCACTTAAACTTCAGCATTTACATCAGTGAAAGTTAATAAGCACCTAAACTTCAGCATTTACATCAGTGAAAGGAGGAACCACCAAAGAGTTTTGGGCAGAAAAGTGATGTCACTGGTGCCCAGCCAGGGGTGATTTTGCCCCCTAGCAGACATTTGGCAGTACCTAGGGACATTTCTGGTTGTCACAACTGGGAGTGGGTATTACCAGCATCTAGTGGGTAGAGAGGTCAGGGAAGCTGCTAGCTACCTACAACACAGAGGACAATTTCTTACAACAAAAATTACTGGGCCTAAAATGTCTGTAGTGCTGAGGTTGAGAAATCCTGACATAACCTTATACTTAATAGGATTACTTTGGTTGCTGAGTTGAGAACAGATTGAACAACAACAACAAGAACAGGAAAACCAAAAATCTATTGTAGTATCTAGGCAAGAAATGGTGGTGGCTTGGACCAGGGTGGTAAAAAGAGGTTCACATTCTCCATATATTTAAAGGTAGAACAAGATTAGCTGATGATGCCACTGGAGAAGTTAGAAAAAGAAGTTATGGAAGGATGGTGTTCTATCAACTGTGAAGGGGGAAGGCTATAAGGCAGAGTAAGTTATTTCAGGGGGAAAGACCTGAAGTTTTAGGTTTTAGACATGTGAATTTAGTTAAGTATATAAGACATTTAAGTGGAAACGTTGAGTAGGCAGTTAGATATACTAGCCTGAAGTTCTGAAAAGATTGAAAAAGGACAACCAAGTAAAGTAGGAAGACTAAGAAGAGTGTGGAGTCTGGAAGTTCAGTAAAGTGTATCAAGGAAGAAGGATCACCTTTGTCAAATACTGCTGAAAGGTCAAATAAGATGAAGATGAAGAACTGACCACTGGATTTAGCAATGTGGAAGTTACTGTGACTTTGATGAGAACAGTTTTGGTGTAATCATAGGGGCAAACCCTAACTGAAGTGGGTTTAGAGAGGAAAGTGGGAGCAGAATTAGAGAGCTAAAAGCCCAATTTGGGCAAGTATTCCTGCAGAGGGGAATATGGAAATAAGGTGGTGGCTGGTAGCAGTGGAGTGAAGAAACTAAAAAATGTGTTGTTTTTTTGTGAGAACAATGACAATGCTGATAGAATGAGAACGACCCATCAGACAGTAAGAAATTGATGATGTAGAAGACAGAAAAATGCAGGCAAAAGAGATTGGGATCCAAGACTCTACTGGGGGGACTGGGTCTAGAGAGAAGCAGGAAAGTCTGTCTCCATTCTAGATGAAAAGGAAGAGTGGTGAGTTGACATGAGACAGCAAAGCACGTAACCCCAGATGCTGGTAGAGATTCTGGGGCTAAGGGTCTGTGGAAGGTTTCTTTTGATTGCTTTCCATGAACCCTATCCTGGGCACTACAATCTTAATGACCTCTCCTTCCTATCATTTCTACTACATTTATTCTGTATCACTTGTTAGGTATTTATAACACTGTAGTATTTGTTAACTTTTAAAATGCATAGGTCTTACCCTACAACTTAACTCTTAAATTCCTAAAGGGACATGTATTAACTTTTTAATCCTCATAACAATATTACAAATAGGTAGCATTATTATCTCTATTTTTCAGATGGGGAAACTGAGGCATGCAGATGTTAAGTAACTTGCTAAGGTCACATAAGCAGTAAATGGAGGAGCTAATATTTGAACTCTTGCACTTTGGCTTTAATTCCATGTCTATTCACAGGTACCTGTTTCTCTAGTGTCTTTTTAAAAAAAATTAATTTTATTTTTTCAGTGTTCCAAGATTCATTGTTTGATGTACCACACCCAGTGCTCCATGCAATATGTGCCCTCCTTAATACCCACCACCAGGCTCACCCATCCCCCCCCACCCGATCCCTTCCCAAACCCTCAGTTTGTTTTCTCAGAGTCCACAGTCTCTCAGGGTTCATCTCCCCCTCCGATTTCCCCCAATTCATTTTTCCTTTCCTTCTCCTATGTCCTCCATGTTATTCCTTTAGTTCCACAAGTAAACGAAACTGTATGATAACTGACTTTCTCTGCTTGACTTTTTGCTCAGCATAATCCTCTCCAGATTTTAGTGTCTTTTTAAATGTCACAACATAAGCAAGATCTCACTGGTTAAAAAGAAACAGCTGAATTATTTACGAAATTAAAACCACTTTTCTACTGAAAAAGAACATTTAAAATATAAAGATAAGCCAGGAGAAGGAAGAATGAGAAGTTATTTTTTATTAGGTACAGAGTTTCAGTTTTGCAAAAAATAGAGTTCTGTAGATGGATGGTAGTGAAGGTAGTGCAACAGTGAATACATTTAATGACACTAAACTGTACATTTAAAGTTACAATGGTAATTTTTTATGTATATTTTATCACAATTAAAAAAAAAGAAAGCTAGGAAACATAAAAAAAGAAAAAAAGAGCCAGATCAAGACCAAGAATGTGGAGAACCGTACCACTTCAAGTAACCTTCTGAGAAGCCAGGAGTGAGGTTGGGGGCCTCAAAACTATCCGCTAAGTCCAGTTGCTGACAAATGGCTAACCATGCAGACAATGAATTTTATATTAACAGGGTACACCAATGGTGATTATTAAAATAGAATCAGTAAGTTGTGCAAAGAAAAGATAAAATTTAATCCAAATTAGTCTATGTTAAAAAAATTAAAACAAAGATAAGACAGTAAAATAGAATTAATAGGGCTATCAGCATCGATCCGACTACCTAACCACATATGGCACACAATTTCTAACTAGGCAAAGCCTTGTTTTTTCCTTTACTAAACACAGACATAATTAAAAGGCGCTACAAAAAGAGGAATTTGTTTATATTTTCTATTGTATGTCTGTTCTCCACCAGAATATACATTCCATGACAAATCTGTTCTGCTTCCTATTTTCTTCCCAACACATGAAACAACTCCTAGCATAGGGCAGATGCTCAAAGAAAACTGCTGAATCAATGATACAACCAGTTATAAATGTATTGCATTAGTTCTACTAGAATGCCACATAACTTCCCCCCTTTTAACACCATATTATTAGAATTCTGTGATTTCCTCAATTCTTACAACCTTTGCTTCTGCCTAACTTTTAGCAACCTACTTATATGGCCTTACCCTAAACCCAACACTGTTCCCACTTTAAGCTACTAAATAATAATATAGGTATTTCTGGCCATTCATTCAACAGATATTTATTTTATATTTACAACTGTACATATACACACAATAATGCCCATGTCTTTTGGCAGCATTACTGCTGCTGAAATTTTGACAGAAAAGACTGAGATCAGACTGGTATGTAGAATCTCTGAAAAACGTACTGACCTCATTGCTGTGTGCTGACATAAAGGCAAAGTGAAATACCAAGTCCAGCTCAAAGGAGTAATCTCAGACTTTTCCTGAAGGTGATAATAGCTCCCTTCCCCACATTATGAGATCTACAATCCCCTTCCTGTTAGGTACCCTCTCATCACCATAACAACCCACATTCCATAAAAAAACAGGGGAGCCATTAAAGAGAGGCAGAAGGACAGAACTTCTGATGCTGCTTTTAGGTGTCCCCTTCAGGTAGTCTCTAATCTTTTCCTGATAAGTCATTAATTTCATCACTAAAATATGAAGTGTTATTCTGTGCTGCAATGCTCTTAGAGACTGTAAGTTAGTATTATTTGCCAGTAAATTAAGTTCCTTCTACTCCTATCACCATTTGCTTTCTGTGTTTTACAGTTTTTATTTTCCCATTTGGTAACTTAGTTTAGTTGGTACATATTACTGCTTTTATTGAAGCAGGTCAATCTCTCACAAACCTCCCTTTCTTTTTAAACTACAAAAATACAACTCATTAAGGCTACGTCTAAAATTATGTTTGTAATTTTGTAGTTAAAGGCTACAGGGATGTTTATTATATGCTTACAGAGAGTACCTTTAGGTTATAAACATTCAATGTAATTTTTTCCCTACCCTTTCCACGTTTTCTACATACTCATGATTAGAAAAATACACAACTATATTTAAAGTACACAACTATATTTGTTCTTTACCACAAAAACATTTTTTTCCACTGGCTTGTTTGCAAAATTAGTATTCCTTTATGTTTAAGCATCTAATGAACACGTTTTTCTTTCTGCATATCATTTAAACTAGCTTTAAGTCTATCATACTGGACAGTAACTTTCAGAGTTTCATGGTTAACAAAAAAAATTGTTTCTTAAGAAATAATGATTTCTAAAAATGATGACTCATTTTCTAATCCAACAATAAAAGCTATGTAACCAAAAAATTAAGTCTGTTTTTTAAAAGATTATTATTTATTTATTTGACAGAGAGAGAGAGAGAGAGATAGAGATCCCAAGCAGGCAGAGAGGCAGGCAAAGAGAGAGAGGAGGAAGCAGGCTCCCCTGCTGAGCAGAGAGCCCAATGCGGGGCGCAATCCCAGGATCCTGGGATCATGACTGGAGCCGAAGGCAGAGGCTTTAACCCACTGAGCCACCCAGGCGCCCCAAATTAAGTCTATTTTAAGAGCTATTTTTGTTCACTAGTGGTAAAGGGGGGAAAACTGTCCTTAGTAACTCTACCCTTTTGATGGCAAGGGCATTTTACATCTTTATAAAGCAACCTTCTCTTCAAAACTTAAGGTCAACAGAATAAAATCATCCAGGTTCCCTCCCATTACTTTTGACAAGAATGCTAAAATACAGAGCAATAAAGTATAAATATTGTAAAATAAACAATATTGCAGAACTCTGAATAAATTCACAAAGGAAGTATAATACAATACTAGCAACTTTAATATTAACAGAGGATTTGGATTTTACAAATCTTAAATTAAGAAAAACAATTACTCCTTTAAAGTTACTGATACCCTGTCCTTGTCTAATATTACTCTTAAAATGAAGTTAAGTATATGTACGAGTTAATGATGAGTTAGTATCTGAAGTGGTTCTAAACTTAATAGGGACATGCCATTGGTATAAACATTACAAATTTGAAGGTTGATATATCCTAGGTAAATCATGATTTTTTTCCTATTTTTCTCTTAAAAGTACTTTCATTAAATCTTGATCTGAATCTTAAATTAAGATCTATCTTTGGGATCTTTCACTTTTCTGCCCCACTATTCTCTTAGGTACATATTACTATTTCCTCAGTGATAGAGCTAAACAGTCCCAAAACTGGATTTTTATTTCTGCCGTATTTGCTTGCCTGACCTAACTTTTTAGGATGCATAAAATTTGCTGAATCCTATCAGCACGGACTTATTACGTAATAATATGGCAAAAGTATTATGTGACCTCCACCTATGCCCCTTAGATCACTGCTTTTCACCAAAAGATACACATTCATATACATGGCAAGAGAGAGAGGTGAGGAGCCACAAGGGGAGGTAAAGTCTAAAGGAAGTCTAAAGTCTAAAGGAAGTCTAAAGGAAGTTAAAGTCTAAAGGAAGACCATGGATGATAGGTATTCATGCGTTTAGTATTTGTGCTATGTATGCAGGCGTTGAACTCATGACCTTGAGCCAAGTCTTCTCTCTATTGAGAGAAATACCACCTGTACTTTATTATAGCCACCTATATGTCTTAGCATTTGGCTCAACTCCCAGCTTCTAGATTTGCTAAGATAATTATGTTTCCTTATATGTCAAGTTTTGGACAATGATTAAGTGCTTAGCTGTGCCCAGAACCTGATTCTTAAGTATTTTCTAAATTAGAAATTGTGTATGCTAGAAATGGTGGGTTATTTCCACAATGATGTCAAAATGCTAGAATACCCACTTACATAGTGGGTATTTAAATTATTTCAATGATGATGAGACAACATTTTTGTTTATTGATTACTCCTGTGTACCTGAAAATGATATATTTCCTACAGACAGTCTTAATCTTAAATTAAGGTAGGTAATAGTAGCCCACTAGCCTCACATAATTCTTCCAGTAAGATTACTATTAAAATTCATTCACTTGGGCGCCTGGGTGGCTCAGTGGGTTAAAGCCTCTGCCTTCAGCTCGGGTCATGATCCCAGGGTCCTGGGATCAAGCCCCACATCGTGCTCTCTGCTCAGCAGGGAGCCTGCTTCCCACCCCGCCCCTCTGCCTGCCTCTCTGCCTACTTGTGATCTCTGTCTGTCAAATAAATAAATAAAATCTTAAAAAAAATTCATTCACTTATTTGACAAATATTTATGAAATATCTACTGTATTTGGGTTACCATAGAATAAAAAAAATTAAAAGGCAGCGCCTATGCTCAAGGAACTTAAAATCCCATAAAATTCCACAATTATGATACTAGGTGGCATTTAATTTATAACCAAGAGATGGCACAAATAAGTTGATCTAGGTCCTCAAGGATGGGTAAACTTCTAAAAGGCAAAAATGAGCAAATGAGTAACATTCCCCAGATTACAGCATTAACAAAACCACGGAGAAAGGAAAACATCAAGGGAGCATATGAATACAGGCATACTTTATTTTACTGTGCTTTGCCTTACTGAGCTTTGCAAATACTGCATTTTTAAAAAATTCAGTTTGTGGCAACCTTGTGTTGTGCAAGTCTACTGGTGCCATTTTTCAACAGCATTTGCTCATTTGGTGTTTCTGTGTCACATTTTGGTAATCCTCACAATATTTCACAATACTCCCTCCCCCATTCCCTCCCTCTTCTTCTTTTTTTTTTTTTTTTTAAAGCAGGCTCAATGTACGGCTTGAACTCATGACCTTGAGACTGAATCCCAAGTTCTCCCAACTGAGCCAGCCAGGTGTCCCTCAAACCTTTTCATTATTATTGTATTTGTTAAGGTGACCTGTGATATTATTACTGTATTGTTTTGGGTGCTATAAACTGCACCCATATAAGATGGTGGACTTAACTAGTAAGTGTGTGTGTTCTGACTGCTCCATCAAATGGCTATTCCCCCATCTGTTTCCACTTCCTCAGGTCTATTTCCCAAGACACAACAATACTGAAATTAAGCCATGTAGACTCCTACTTGACCTTCAAATGTCACTTTTCCAAAGAGGCCTATTTTGACTACCCTATTTTAAAATGTAACCAAGGTCCATTTTCTTTCCTTTTCCACCCCCACTGCTTACTACCTAACATACTACATAATTTATCCATGTGTTATATGCTTATGGTTTTCTTCTCCCCACAAGAATGTTAACTACAGAGAGACAGATGTTTTTGCCTTTTATTTACAGATACATCACAATCATCTAGAAGACTGCCTGACATACATGAGCACTCAATACATATCTGTTGAACACTGCTGAGTACAGGAACTGTAAGAGTTCAAAATCTTCTCAGAAGAAAAAAACTATTAAACTGTGAGAAATTCATTAGAAGGATATACATAGTGTGCCATGAGAACCCACAGGAGAGACACCTGGAAACATTCAAGGAAAGCTACTTCATGAAGGTCATGACTGAATGAAATGAGAAGGGTAGGAATCTGCCATAAAAATAAAAGTACCGCTAGGTGTAAGAAAAGCTGGATACTCTTTAGTTGCACTGAAATAAATTGTCAGTAGCCCCAAATACAGAGCTTAGTGGAGAAAGGTCTGGAAGGAGCAAGCACGTAAAGTAGAAAGAATCAGAACACTGTTATGTTAAGGAAACTTGGAGTAAACTGTATCAGTAGTGTCAAATGTTTAGGGGGTCACAAAAAGGGTAAGGCTGGAAAAAAGGCCTTTGAGTTTGGACCATATCAGAGAGCAGATTTAGTAGGATAACACAGAACCATCAGTATGTCAAACAAAAGTAGAGATAGCTTCTGAAAAGCTTACAGATACTTTGAAATGTTACATGTTATCATCCTATCTTCTGGTTAGGACACAAAAGACTTAAGGAAGTTGATTTGTCTAAGGCCACACAGCCAGCAAGGGCTTGAAATAAGAAATGGATCCAGCTTTTCTGACTCTAATTCTCATATGACTTCTATTCTCCTCACCAACATGGTCTTCTTTTGCTGTCATTCACAGTGGTGGGCTTCATAGTATGGGCAGTTAATCTACCACAATATCCCACCAATATTCTGAATAATCATGAAGGAAGTAAGAGAGGACCTGAAGAAAATTTCAAGTGTAACTTCAGTGCTTAAAAAAAAGAAACTGAATTATTTCTAAAAAGGATATGAGGCAGTGAGTACAGACTACACAGAATCAGTACCAGATGATACTCAGAATACCTGAGGCCTTACATTTAATTCAGTTTGCCTGTGCAAATAAGTTAGCTGTATTTTATTCTTTAAGTCAGGGCTTCCCAAGGGGTGCATAGGAAAGGACTGAAAATGTGTGATGATACTGATTCCCTTAGCCTTTAGGGCTGATGGTCTATGGGTCTAAATTTTCTTCTATGTACCACAATGTGCCATATAATTATTATGGGTGTTCATGAGATATTTTATGAATACAGATGGAACACTGTCTAGGGTTACTTCCAAGCACCTTTAAACCTTAAGATATTACTTACATTATCACATAATCAGGGAAATAAAGCTCTAGAATTAATTTTCTATAATAATTCAACACCCAAAGCCAAGGCCAAATGATAATGCTGTCAATTTCATTCCTCCTCCTTTCCAAATACACTAAATGTACTAGAATGTGAAATAAGATACCAAAAGATATATTGTACCAGGTAAGCTTCGGTACTGAAATGGTATTTTTTTATCTAAATTAAACAGTAATATTTGTTCCCTACTATATAGATATATAAAGAAAAAAACCACAAACACATACCTGTGGGGCGTATCCAGGAGGCACATAAATAGGAGGCACAGAACCATTTGGGGACATCATTGGAACCTGAGCAGGACCTGAATGGATCACAGAAATGATGTGTTAATCCAGGATTACTTAGCAAGCTAACATTGAAAACAATCTGAATTCCACTTTGAATACTTCGTCTAAACTACATGCTTGGGGAGCCTGGGTGGCTCAGGCATTAAGCGCCTGCCTTCGGCTCAGGCTGGGATCCAACCCCATGTCCGGCTCCCTGTTCGATGAGAAGCTTGCTTCTCCCTCTCCCACACTCCCTGCTTCTGTTCCCTCTCTAGCGGTCTCTCTCTGTCAAATAAATAAAATCTTTTAAAAAAATGAAAATTAAAAAAAGATAAACCGAATGCTCAAGTTAACAGTAACTATATTACTACGAAAAGAAATTCAGATGATTCAACTGCTATAAAACATAAGAATATATTTTGTAAAGTGCACTGATTATTTTTTACTTGCAGTTGTGTTTTGTGTTTTTTTTTAACCTGTCTGATCATCAAAAGAGTCACCTGGGGAGCTTTTTAAAACACAGATTTCCAGGCTCCTAGAGATTCTTTATTATACTTACAGAGGGGTCTTGAGTCACTATACTTAGTTACAAATACATCTGGTGAATCTTATGATTACGCAAATTAAGAAACACTGACCTAGAGGAGAATCAACCTAAACTTTGCATATAAAAATCAATGAAAGATACAAAAAAGCAAAATTCTAAAAAGCAATAGGAAAAAAAAAAGTCAAGATGGACGAGAAGTAAGAGGAAGAAGAGTCAGAAATTTGGGACTTCTCTGTTAGTGTTCAAAACCTCTTGTGTAATATGTAAGTAATATTTGTGGGGACTTGAGAACAAAATTAGAAAAATACTGTACATGCATATTTAGCCAAGGAACAATTTTTGTTTCTTAAACCAAGAAGTTCCCCCCAAAAAGAGAAAGTTCATCTTATCTTATTCTACATTTTCTTTCACTTTTACTATTATCCTTTCCAGATAACTTTTATAAATATTATCTCATTTATCTTCTCTCAACATTTGTGGGATAAAATAGGCATTTTGGGAAGGTGTGTTTTATTTTTTCTAGTAACAAATCTTACTTGCTTTATGCAACTTTTTTTTAAAAAGAGGAAACTCACCTTCAGATCCTTTTTACTTTGTAACTTTAGACTGCACTGTCCCCTCACCCATTAGTTTTTAGTAGCTTGAAATTTAACCTTCTCAAGGAGCCTCACTCATTTTTTAGGAATAAATGTACCCAAGAGTCTAATGAAGAATGTAATGGAGGAAGAGTTCTTTTTATATGTGGGATTTCAATCTGCAGAGTACATATAGTGGATATCAGTTATAAAAGAAAAGAAAGAAGAAAAGCTAAATCATAGAGCAGAAAAATAAATTTCACTGGTAATATTACACATACTTCAGGAAAACAGAATGAAGAGCATGGAGGTTAGAGCAAAACCGGAATACAGCCACTCTCCTCTTTTCAGGGAAGGAAAGGAGTGACAAGCAAGCAACAAAGTAGTTGGTGGTTGGGGTAGGGGAAAGACGGTGAGACACAGGGAAGGAAAGAGAAAAGAGCATGTACGAAAAGGTGGGTGCAGGAGGGTAAATGCTGAACAGTGGTGAGGGAAGAAGAAAAGGACAGAGGAGGAGAAAACACAGGCAAGAAAGGAGGGGAGGGGACAGAGGAGGAGAGGTAACTGGAGAAAGGGAAGGGTGAAGAAGCATGAGTGAGGAGGGATGGAACAGAGGAAGAGAAGGGGGAAGAGAGAAAAGTGGAGGGAGAGAGGAATGAAAGAAGAGATAGGGAGGGGAAGAGAGAGAATAGGTTCAAGACTCAAATGGGCATGAGGAAATAAAGAGCTTATTATGTGTGTGTGTGTCTGTGTACGGGCAACTACCAAATTATGCTATATATGATTATAAAATAGCTTTTCTTTTTTAAAGAAGATTTTATTTATTTATTTAGCAGAGTGGGAGCATGAACAGGAGGCAGGGAGGTGGGCAGAGGAAGACATAGACTCCTCACTAAGCAGGAAGCCCGATATGGGATTCAATCCCAGGACTCTGGGATCACGACCTGAGCTGAAGGCACAGCTTAACCGAATGAGCCACCCAGGTGCCCCTAAAAATAATTTTTCAACAAAATATTCTTCCCATCCCAAACAGCCCACCAAATACATGAAGTTGTTCGTAATATTTTCTTAAAATAGCTAATTATATATAGTTAATGCTAACTTACTATATATGCTAGGCCGTGTTCTTTTTTCTCCTCATAATCAATCTACCAGCAGGTAAGTATTATTATTATTACTCCCATTTTCTCCATGTGGAAATTAAGGCAGAGAGTTGTTAAGCTTGCCCTAGTGGTAGAAAGAGGATTTAAAACCAGACAGTTTCATTTAAGGATACTATGGATTACTGGCAACTGATGTAATTTGAGGCTCCAAAGCTTCTAAGGAAAATTGAGGTCTTTGTTATCTTTAAAAAAAAGAAAGAAAGAAAGAAAGAAAGAAAGGCAAAACAAAATTTTTCTACATTTAAGCCAACATTAACCTATTAACTTACAAAATAAAACTTGTGAGGTGCTTTATACCTCTAGGCAAGAAAGGGTTTATCCAAAACTTACTTCTAACTTCTCTATATTGGACTCAAGAGAAAATGAGAACAGTTTTAAGAAAATTCTAGTTTGCATCTATTAGCTATTTTACATAAACCTACAGTAAACTAGCTTTATGAATCCTGAAACTGGCTTAAATATTATAATATGTGAAATTTAGCTGGGAACCAGAAAGAGAATTCATCAAAATCCTATTTATAATCTTAGTAAAGGAAATCAGTATTTTTGAGCTTCTACTAAATGTGCCACGGACTGTGCTTCCTTTCAAATGTTGTCAAATTTAATTCTTACAGCAAGTCATCAGAAGAGGTTTTTGTTGTTTTTCAGCCTCCAGAATAAAAAATAAGTTACTGCTGATTATATTTAAAATTGCAAAACTACATAACTGCTTGGATTGCCCTTCTTTTACTAAAAATATAAATACATAAATACTATATAATTACAATTCAAACCATATACTTTGAAAGCTGCTTTATAGTTTATATTTTAGTAGAACAAAATTCTACTCTATTCTTTAAATATATTTAAGTGTGATACTGAAAACAGAACAGAACAAACCCAACCTAAAATAAACCAGCAGTAAATACATTACGTTGCAGTCCAGGCATAACTATTAACTCATTTCCCTAAGAAGTAATCATTTCACTCTAGCAAGTAAATTTTCTTATCCTGAGGCAGAAATGGTACATGGTTCATTTTTTCAGAGACAATTCACGGATACTGTTTTTAATTTCTAAAATACTGGCGTGAAATAACATCCAACACTGAACACATAAAACTCCCATTATGTAAACATAGTAAATACAATTTAGAACTACAATATTTACAGCACCACTTCAGTTGCTATTTCTACCTACAAGGGCAAACCCCTAAAACCTTGCATGCTTAATGATGCAAATGTCCATCTACCTGCTTAGCTTCACCAATACTTTTATTGTTGGCATAAAATACTGAAAATACTAAAAGATTAACTACAAACCCTGTAAATGCAGTGAAGCGGGGGGTGGGGGATGAGGGGGTTATTCTGTCCTAGTAAAGAAGCCAAATCTGTTACAGATTGTACCACAAAATGCACATCTGGAACAAGAGTAGCTTTATCTGAACAACTGTAGATACACCCAGGAGCTCCTTAATAATCTACATGATCTAAGCAAAATCTACCCCCAAACATAAAGCTATTAAAATCATTTTAAGGGCATTATTTCCTATTCTAAAACCCTGCAGAAGAGCAAACAATGCTTATTCACCAAATGTCTTAAGAAATTTGAGAAGCCCCTCACGTCCATTCCTTAAAAAGTGCCATCAATAACTTAATATAAGATGATATTTCATCTACTGTAAGTTAAATTCTTTATTTTTCATTAGCATACATTCACATTTAAAGAGGGTTTTTTTTTTTTGACGAAACTACAAATCTGAGTTTAAATTCTTAAAATGCAACGGGCTGCTGACGTGCTACACATTCTCTTTATAAGCAAGCTTTCACAATGGCTTCCAAATAATCTGGTGCCAATATTCATACTTTAGTGGTAAAAAGAAAAACCTAGTAAAATAAAAGCGCTGGAAAGGTATACTCCATGGAATATAAAGTCAGCCCATCTCCAAATAGAGTCTAATCTTTTTATAACTACATGGCCACAATTTAAATTATTTTTACTGCCATAGATTTGGCATCTATTGAAAAAACACACACGGCACGACTTTAGATTAATACAATGCTTTCTATGTTTTAAAATAGAAGAAGAATGTTCAAAAATAGTCAGCAAATCTTACCACTCATTTTGTTTTTACAGTAGCAGCAGAGACAAAATCCAACAAGGAAACAGCGTAGTACACGTTAACAGCTTTAATTGGAGAACAGTTCCGCTGTTTTTTTTTTTTTTTTGCAAAGCAGTGAGAGGAAAAGATCCTTTGACCGAGTCACGTGATGCTTCTCACGTGACTTGCAGTGACCCGCGGAAAGGGAAAGGGGAAAAAAGCAAACATTCCCGCTGTCAGCATTTGGGATATAGTAAATGATTAAATGGTTTCTACTGCTAATGCCTTGAATTTTGCGATCATTCAGACTTCCCCGTGAACTAACCCAAAAGCTCATCAAAATACATGTACAGAAATACGTATCTGCTGTAAAACCATCCTTTTTGTTTTCACTTCCCTCCTGTATGATAGGCATTATCTTCTAATTCAGTTTTTATAATTCAGTCTGCTACTTTCATTTATAAAATTTAAGTTATTTGTAACATTTATTGAGGATTCGCTCTGAAATGTCCTTCTGTAACTTGATGCACTCTCCATGCTTAACCATTGCCCACAGCACAATTGTCTATAGAATATTGGCTTGATCAATGTGTTCCTCAAACCTGGGTTTTATGTCTCAGGCTGGCCTTTGCCTCTCAAGTTAATAAAGGCTACCACTTTAAGGGCTGTTTTTACTTTATTTCTAATTTTGTTTTGTTGTCGTATGTTTATTTTAAGATTTAACATGGACATAATACAGATACTTGATGGATGGCATTCTTGCTCAAGTCCACAAAATCTTAAGACAGGCCACACACTTTGGGATTAAGGCACTCTACCAAAGCTCCCCTGGAGACCAGGAAAGAGACTAAAGATGTTACAAGTGAGGGGAAGAAGACTGAGGTCTTTTCATTACTTTATGGTGCTATGTAAACTAAGGAAATTTATTAGTAGTTAATACAAATGTATAGGTAATGATAATGATTGTGATTTGTTTACAAGTTGCACAGTGGAAAGAAAATAAATTTTGGTGTCAAAAGATTTAAGTTTTAATAAAAGCTTCAATATTTTTTAGCAAGGCAATTTACTGCTCTTCTTTGAGATTGTTTCCTTCTGTAGAAAGGTTAAAATAATCAACCTCACAGCATTGTTGTGAGAATCAAATTACATATATTTAAAATACTAAGTATACTGGTTGGCACGACTCAATAAATGATAGTTATTATTATAAATACAAGCGTGATTGCTCTGTGTTTTCAAAAATAATTATATATTGCAGAGTATGTCCAGGCACCATTTGGAGTGATTTTCATGTGTTAACTCAGTCTTTACAATAACTGAAGAAGGTATCAATGATAGGTAGGGAAACTGAAGCAGAGTGCATGCAGTTAAGTAACTTGCCAAGGGCACACAAAGAGACAAAGCCAGGATTATCTAATGATAAGGTTATAGTTAAAAAATATGTGTGTGTGTGTGTGTAATGTTCAAAGCCCCACTCTCCCAAGAATGTGAAAAAGAACTAGCAAGAGATATAACCTAGAGCAACAGATTTCAGTAAATACATGTCAGACACCTCAGAGGAGGTAAGACACTAAAGGACCATTCTCAAAAGTGGCAAAGGGTAATTGTTAATTTCAAAGTCCTTATCGAAAGGCAAGGCTCCTGAAGAACAAGGCCTGAGAGTAAAGATTGTCCTGATCTCAACAGAATCTGCTTATAAATGCTGAATTCAGCCTCTCAGCAAATCTAACCATTCCTCTCATCTTCAGCCCTTAAACAAAAAGCAATCCCTGGCAGCCCACTTCCTCATTTTCACTCATGTTCTCACACAGCTATGTTTCCATTTCTTGACTTTCTTATTGATGATAGCTTTCTCAATTCTTTCCACTGAGCTCACTAGAACCTTTTCCCCTATTATAAAAAAATTCCTTCACATCCTCAACCTTTTCACAGAAGACTTATTGATGTATTTCCTTTATATGAAATCTGCCCCCCCCAGAACAATTTTTCTAGTTGCCCCTGGGAGCAGGCTTCCCATTCTCTCCCGAGGCAGTTTCCAGACACCCCAAGGCTGCTTCCCATTACCACTGCTGTTCCTGTTTCATGCTCAAGTTTCTTTTTCCTTGAGATCATATCATATGAGTAGATCACCCTCTACCTCTTTTCACTGCTGTCATATGCAATTCTCATTTACTAAAAACTTTGGCACCATGTTCACAGTTTTTTCCATAAGCACAATGACTTCAATGTCGAAAAAACTCAGCATCAAACTTTCTGGAACTCTTCTATTCTGTTTTTAGTAACTCATGTTCAAAGACAGATCCTGGAACTTATCATTTAGAATTCCACTATCTCATCTTTAAAATCTTAGACTTTCATTCAGTCTCTGGCCACCACATCTATCTTTCATTTCTCTATTTTCTCTTCAACATTTGTTCTTTCTCATAATGATTTCCTTTTCCTCTTGATCGAACACTGCCTTCACTGCCTGATTTCCTTTTCCATGTATGTCTTGCTTTTATATCCCCTCCCCACAAAGTCCCCAATTTTAGCCAGATAATTAACTTCTCTTAGATCTGAACTGTAGAAATCAAATGGTATTCACACTGTCATGTGTGAAAATTTAGTTATCTCCAACCTTAACTTAGCCATCAGCATTGTTTAGGAATCCTTTCAGAAATTTATCCTTGGTTAATAGCCTATCCTGTTTTCTGGAGTGATTATCAAAGATCTCCATCACCCTTTAAGGACTTGCCCAACCTGACCTCAATCACATATGTCAAAATTTTCTCACCTTTCTTCTATCTTCAGAAGAATCACTGTCTCTTTATTAGGTCAAAGCTATCTCCTCACTTTATTCTTGACCTCATTTTCACTTGGTCCTCGACTAGCTCTTTGCTCTATTGTTATTTCTGTCCCATTCTCTATTTTCAACCCTTCTAATAAGATTTTAGTTCTCTGCCCTCATTATCCTTACAGTTGCCATAGTGTTCTAATGATCAGGATTGGTGACATGGTCCACACCTTCAAAAATTCTTCAGCTATAATAAGGACAATGTAAAGTAGACATATTTCATATTTCCTAAAGACCCTGTTAATTCAACAATGTGCATCAAACAATTTTCCCAGAAGAATAAGCAAAGAGAAAGGATGTATCAATAATGTTACAATTATAGGAATGCATTCTGCAGTGATGAGCATATTCTTCATTTTCCCTTTCTTACCTGATTATATGAAAATTCTAGCAAACTTAAAATGCACCTGGTTTTTATTTTTTATTCTCACAATACTGTCTCAAAACATTTTGCAGAGGGTTCTCTTAATCAATAGCCTGACATGTCACAGCAATTGTCTGGACTTTCTGATAACATTTTAACACATTAACTATTAGTATTCTTGAACTATTGATTTTCAGGTAGATTTGTCAATACAAGCACATGTGGCATTTGGGTGAGAATGTTTATATGCACTTATTGGGTACCAGGCACTGGTGTAAGTGGTTTATAGATTATTTATATATAGATTACTTATAATCTCTCTATGTATTATTTATAGATTATTAACTCATTTAAGCGGCATCATATCCCTCTGAAGTGGGATAACTATTATTTCCATTTTCTGTAAGGAAACTAAGATACAAAGAGATTAAGTAACTTTAAAGGTCTCACAGTTAGTAAGCTGTCAAAAGAATTGGGTGTTGTAGCTTTGAAATCTGTGTTTTTTCACCACTACATTATACTGCCCCTCTTGTTTGGATATAACTTGTATTACAAATTATAAAATGAATGAGAAAACTGCAGCATAATAATACCAAAATTTACTTGAAGATAAACTACAAATAGAAAAGCACCAAACATTTGGATAAAAGACCCCACACAATACACCTCAAATATGTGCTAGTTACACATAATGATAACAAAGCAAAATGCACCTAAATATATCTCACTGAAACTCTTGTGAAGACTCTAAGAGTTTTTAGTTAAATGAGGGATATCTTATGGAAAACAGTGAATAACATAACAGCCAAAACTGTTTCAAAAGTAACTTAAGGAGATTTAAAAGAAACATACAGCAACAAAAACAAAAGCTAAAAACCCCCCTCAAAATAACATAACTGAACAAAACAAAACTCAAAACAAAAGAGCTGACAAACTAAACAAAAGGGAACACTAATATAGAAAATATGTATGAGGACTAAGGCTAGTCTTACGCCCTCTAGAGGTGGGCCATAAAACCTCTCTGGTTCGTATGAATTGAAATAAGGTTAAAATTAAGACATCAAGGACCACACCGTCAAGCTAGTCCTTGCCTTCTGCTGATCAAGTGTCTCAAACTGCCATAAAGCATAGCCCCAATTATTTGGTTTGAAAAAAACTAAAGCAGGTATAGCCCAATGCTGACTTCTGCCATATATAAAATTCAGTAATGCATCAATAAATGTCTTAACTTTTAGCAATGTATCCCAAAAAGCAGTTGCAAAATAAACAGCCAAGATAGCAAGAGAGCTGAATCAGCTGATTGCAGAAAGGAATTGTTAGCTATGAGGCAAATTAAAGTTGGAAGAGTTAACTTTCATTTTATAAAAATCTTTCTGGCAATAAATAAACAAGATCAGTTGTTTATTAAGGCTGTTATTAGATGGAAATCAGTCTGGGTCATCTGCATGTTAAAAAATGAAAGGTACAGCCTCATTCAGCTCAGTGGTTTCAAATCATTAAGACATTGATTAAAAAAAAAGACATTAAGAGTGGGGATATGAAATACATCTCATTCCACTCCTCTACAAATAAAAATCTAATTCTTCAAAAGACTATGATTGTGATCCTGACTCTTGAGGTAGTATTAGGTATACAGGTCCTGCATTAACATCTAAATAACATGTGTTAAGCTCATGCAGATTAGACCGTAACTGATGCATGTTCATGTAGTCAAGGGACCTAGGAAAGGTCAATGACATCTGCAACTAATCAAGTCCTCTATGGGAAGACTCCCTTGCTCGGGATTACCGGACAATGATAGATGCAAATAATCTCAGGAAGATAAGGGGTGCAAAGAGTCAGAACCTATAACTTTGTTTGTGGGAACAAGTCAAACTTTGTTTCTTTTAAATCTCTCTGATTTGCTTGCCTATGCTTTTCCTCTT